ATGCCTTTTGCCCATATCTGTAATCTCGATAGAACAACCTCTACTCTCCACTCACATATATTATTTGAGTTCCAAATTGCGTCTTGGCTCTGAACCTCATGAATATTCTGCTCGAAGACAACGTGTGAAAACTCAACACGAGGAGCGGATTTTCTAATTTGCTTCCTCCTCCTCTCTTTCTTGAAGATTACACCATTCTCGAAACTAAATGTTGTAAAAGATGCCACCTTTTTCCTCCTCAAAATTCACGTCACTCCTGACGTGAACCTAATCAGACATAGTAATGTGTTTCCGTTGACCTCGGAGTGTCGGGGTAACTGACCAATCAAACCCTGGAATATTGGTAAGATGACACATGATTTTACTGTCTTCTTTATTTCATTCTGCTAGTATCTTTGCGAACTCGAATGGTATACTGAACTTCTTTGCCTTGTACACCATGAGATGAGATTGTGCTGTCTACGTTCTTTGCAGTACTTTCAATAAACAATATAAGTAGCAAGACTGACTACATATCGTCATGAAAATGAGGAATGAAAGTTTGAATCTGAAGAACATAACATCAACAATTGATACATCCATTTTATAGAAGCCTTTGAGTTTTACCTTCATAGGACACAATACCTTGGCAAATTATCAACATCTTTCTGTCTTGGGAAGTGAGAATAAGATGATTAACTCTGGGAAAAGACCCTTTTGTTCGTTAGAAGATTTGTAAAAAGCTTTTCTCAATGAAAGGTAATTTTTGTATCGGATGTAAAATCATCATTAGCATGCTTTATCCCTGACATTTTGTGTATCTGTTTCCATTTCGTATGAAAAAGATTTTTTTCTTAGGTTGGTTTAGAGTAGCGGTTCGAGATGATGTGATGAACCTTTTCTTTGCCTCTCGGAAAGAATGATCATGCATTAATTTTTATTATCTCACTTTTATTTGAAGCAAAGATAATGATAGTGGAGTCACAACGGGTGGTTTTCGTGCAAGCGGTTGGCTTTTGCTTCTTTTCTTAGTTTGGAAACTGTAAGTCATAAGAGTGTTTGGTTACACTATTGATTATAGGACAGATCGCTTTTGATGTCCATATATGCTTTTCACATTGTTTGTTGCCTAATTTTCTTCCCCGTATTTCAGCCCAAAACATCATCATGGATTTGCGTCTTCCCATACGGTTGTATTGATTTGCTGTCATAAAAGTTCGATCCTTGTCAAGCAGTTTTTAAAACTAACTGCATCGCGTCCTTTTTCTTCTGTATCTTGACGTCCACATATTCACTTGTAAACTTCGCTCATAGCTGCGTGCGTGTAACCTTCTCGTCGGTTTTACGCAGCTTGGTGGTCAATTTAACTCTTCATTGGTTAAAAATTGACATCTTGATCCGTTGGAAGGCGTCAAATGTTCATTCTTATTTTTTATAATTTTGAAAGACAGCTCTCTGATGTCCTCGCGTGCTTCTCGCAGTAATTGTGACTGGATTTGGCATCAGATGCCTGAATGTTGTTCTATCCATGTGTTAACCTGATGTTGGATGCTTGGAATTTGTATACAGTACAGTTGTTTGTTAGGATGTACGAAGGTCGAAGTTGCTCGGAAACCCTCTACATGAAATGTGTACTTCGGTATTCGCCTGTGATATCACGAAAAACATAGGTCTACGTCATGGTAAGGCGTGTAAGTGTGAAAATAATGGTGACATAAGGAAGAAAACGATGTTGGATTGAACTTGTGATTGCAAGGTAAATCAAAGTGCTCATTGTTTCTTACGACATCTTTGTTGAAAGATAATCTATATCTATAAAAATGGTACCCCTTTCTTAGTATAGAAGGTCTTTTAATGTGTGAGATACTGTAGCCGGTGTGATTAATGCGAGTGCACGATTTTGAGTTATGAGTAAGGTGGAGAGTGCCTTTTCCCCTCGTGATTCCCGTGATTCTCTCCAAGGCTTATCTCAGTCTATTGGCGATTTGGTCACAATATTCTTGTGTTCAAATTAACAAATCCACTCATAGGGTGTTGCTTTCTCTCCATTTTATCTCTTTCTAAATCCGGCTGGGATCCAGTGGACTTACTGTTCAATATGCATAATCGCACAGTGCACAGTGGATTGCTGATCTCGTGGATAGCCAGAATGACAAAGATCGGAACCTCAGTATCCTGAGGCATCCTTTACAAGAAACTTGTGAAGGAGAGAAACAGTACAGGTCTCTATCGTCCACCTGCTCACAATTTGAGCTTTTTTAATGAGAATCCTGCGTATATGCTCAACGCATAAATGCCAGTCCTCTTAGAATAAGATTCGTTTCGAATCTTTCTTTGAGGACGGCCTTCACGGACGGCACGGACAACAATGCGCTTTTGAGTATTATATGTACGAGTCTCCAGATTAGCGTATTCCTTATGGTTTGTATACATCGATGCGTGATAAACGTACTACGTCCGCTTCTTTCTGCATTTCAGTCTGTGCACACTTTCTTTACGTCAGTCTTTGTTGATTTTGGTACCAATCTGCGCTTAACTCTTTCATGTCTTGTGCGCAATGAATATGCAAGACTTCCAAGTTTCTTTTATGGTATAGTGACTACGCATAAACTAGGTCGGTGTTAGTCCAGGAATGTTTGTTGATTTCTTTCAGTTCAAAAGATCGGGTTCTCTTGTTGGGATTCCGCACTCAAGTTGTTATCTCTCTCTAGAAAGATCCTCCTTATGGGGCTTAGGCAGTTCTCAAAAGAGATTCGACAATCGATTGGTCTCTTAAGAATGACCTTACTATTGGGCTTAGGCTCTACGATGACCTCTGCTGATCTTGTGGTTTGTCGAAACATTCTTCCCCGTAGCTCCATCTCGATACACATGTCGGCTTTTTCCCAGGCTGAAGGCTAGGTAAAGGTACGAGGATGTGCACCAAATATCGCATGGAACGTGTGTACCAGGACGATGGATTTTTCCGATTCATTATGACTGTGGGTCCAGTAATTTCTTACAATCCCTGACTTCTGACATCTCTGCAATTCCCAAGTAGGTTCTTCGAACAGGTATATCTGTAGGGTCAAGCTAGCATCAAATTATCAGCCTCCCTACCACATCAGAGCAGCTTATGCTTTTCTCTCAACTGGATGGAAGAGTACAGCAGATTATATCCCAGCGGACGGTATGATCATTTCTGGAAGATAAATTCACTTTTGGTTTCTACCTCGTAAGTGTTGTTTCACCTTAACATATTATCATTACGAATTACTAGGCATAATTGTCCTCTGGGTCGGTAGCTATCTTATCCCTAGCAGTCTATAGCTCTGTTCAATTTGAAATGTGTTTAAAGGTGCCATCTGGTTCACATTGTCTATAGATATGGACTATTTACAGGATGGATGTCAATGCCTCTATTCACACGTGGAATTGTGTGAAGTCGATCAAACTGCGATCCATCCAATCAGAGACAAATTCGACTTCATGTTATACATGGCAGGCAATGTCCAAATGAGACATAGATATTACCTGAACTCTGAATGTGCCTAGCTTTTTCTTTCCCCCGTGTACTTGCTTAGGACGTATCTGTAGAAGGGGTAAGTGCAGGTACCCGTCCATTGAACCTAATCCTCGTAGCGAAATAACCTCATGTCTCATAGAATCTCATCAGTCTCGACACCGGGACTTACCTCGCGTGAAACGCCTCAATTGAAGGCGGTGCAATCTCTGTAAATTTTAGTATCATAGAAAGCATAATCTGCTTCCTCATCCAATTCTCGCTTTCAAGCAATTTTCATCCATTAGGAAATGAGTGATGTCGATTGTCCTCTCCAACCAGAAAGCGAGTATCCAATGTTGATGCGCCTTTCACTTCACTCCGGGAATTGCCCGCCATAACGCTGATTTCTGCAGGCCACGGAAGATGAAAATTAGATCATTACTCTCGTAAACTTCATCTGGACGTAATTAGGTACTGTGCAGTTCAGCTCGGGATTCGAGGCAATTGCATTAATCAGAAATCTACATATTGAAGATCCCTGGATTTTGGAAGGGAGGAGGATAGCATGTCTTACCGGGACTTTACAATCTTCCTCAGTAGAATTTAGCACTCGCGTTTGTGTCCGAACCGGAACTGTGGAAATTAGATATACCGGGGAGATTCCCAGCCAAGCGTGGACACCGAAGCTGTGCAGGAGATGGTCGACATTCAATTCAAAATCCTTTAAGCTAGCCTGTCTACGAAAGACGGTACGAAGGACTTACCTGGTTTACTTCCTCCTTCCCTCTCTCAAGTACCTCTCTGGATCACTCGAGGCCTGTTCAGCGATCGATGGCTGTATTCGCTGTATTCTCCTGCTGAATTCACTCCGAAATGCTTCAACAGTATGCATTGTACCACAGGCCCGTGGGAGGCTATGCTTCCTACAGCATCCAAAACCCGACATATACGTGGGCGAACCAGCGAGCATTCGGAGAGCCTAGAGAGATCGTATCATCCTGTGCAGAAGCTTGTGTAAATTTCTCACTCCGGCGTGGGAGTAAGTCCAGACTGACTCCCGTGTCGTTCTCGTATCAGTTAGCCTGTCCAATGTCCAAAGCCCACGCGCTTCTTGCTTCGGACCGGGCCTGTCTGTCGGGCGTACGGCAGTCTTACCTACTCTACAATCAACATTTCACATGGGCCTAGTTGTCCATGATGATGATGATTACGACCGATGCCCGCCCCCTCACGGACGGAGCAGCGGGCGGAAAGAGACCCTCCTTGGGTTCGGGCCCGGCCAATCTTGGAGGAAAAACATGTCGCAGTCTCCGCCCTAAGTAAGCCTGGCAACAGGACAAGACCAGCACTGCAGAAGTCGGCCTGCCCTCTCTGAGGAGTTGAACTTCCTGTCGGACATCTGGCACGTGGCGATTCGTGGACGATACCGGGGTGTTCTCGCGACCGCGAGTTAGCGGCCCGGGCGTCAGTGTCCGTGTCCCGACTGCCCCGCTCGACTGGACTGTCCGATGGAGACTCAGGTGCTCGCAAAGCCTGTGTCTGGGTCCGCACTCGCGACACCCACGCGAGCGACCGAAGTAGGAAACTCGGCCCCGTTCTTCCGCTGCTCTGTTCCGACTGGTGCCTTGCAGGCGAGAAATTTGCGGGGTGTTGAGATCAACGCTGAAGTCAGCGGAAGCATGAAAATCAGTGACTTCCAGGGCTGGTTGTACTTTTGCTGCCTTCTGCTTCGCATTAATCTGCATCCTACGGGAGGATAAGCATTTCAGTCGGATCTTTTGGAACACAAGCCCGCGAGTTGTCTTCACCACACTGATTGTAGAGTTTCTTCTCTGGTTTTTGCCTGCTTGAGTCCATCCGCTGTGGTGTGGAACGCATGTCAAACTGCAGGTACAGATTTATTCCATAATTATCCTCGTTGTCATCAGAAGACTCCACTCCTCAGTGCTCATGGATTGTGGAGAGTATCATGGTAGTAGCATGTCCGAATGGTCCATCCTTCCCCGTATCCTTGCACGCGAGTGCGAGAGCTAACCGCGGACACGAGAGACCAGATCAGACGTAGTGGTGGGTGTGTTGATTGAGCTGAGCGCACTCTTGATAACATAAACCTTTGTGGAAATTGAGCTGTTCCCCCTGGCGAAGTTGAGTTTTATTCCCGGATAGTGTTATCGTTTGTGCAGTTGGTCTCAAATTCACCTAACACTCTCATAAGAGCTGCGAGGGTGCATGAAATGACTTGAAGCCGCGCAAATAGCTTTTGCAGAGATTGACGTTGACCGTAGTGACGTCGATGAAAGCCTTCTCCTTTAATATGACCTGCAGCATGTGGTAGTTGTTCTGGTTCACGCCGGTGTCAGAAGGCTAGCTGTTCTCTGAATTACCCGAAACTTACCAGCCCAGGTCGTCTCCAATCTCTTAGTACCCGGGATTTCTTTAGGCTTGGTTATCACTTTGAGACTTTTCACTGTCCCTATGATGTACATTGGGTTTGAATTGGTAAGTTTTTCTTTTAGGAACCAGCTAAGTGGAGGTACAGACAGATGGGTGCCCATGTATGGTTTGAACTTGTATGGATTGTACCATTTTATTGTGCACTCCTAGGGTACTTGGAATTCAGACGCGAGTGTTCCCTACCGATAGTAATGTATTCGAGTAGCAGGGGAAACGCACTGTGGTACTTATTACTTTTTGTTAGAATGAATATGTTAACTTGCAACTCCGCAGAAGCATTACTGAACCTAGTAATTATGTTGGAACCACATGTTGGAGAATATTTGACGTACATTTTGTTAAGTGCGTACTCAAACTTACGAGTCCACCTCCTGTCCACGCAGCTTTTGGTCAAGAATCAGACCGGAGCAATTCAGCCGGATGGAATTGGGAGCAGCATTGGCAGGTGGCTGCTCTGAAGCACCAGAGCGAGCTCGAGAGGCAAGCAGAGGAAGAACTCGCGAAGGATAAAGGTGATGTCACCATGGCTGAAGGGGAGCAACTAGAAAATGCTCTAACAGAGAATTTGGAGCCAGGTACTCCATCAACTGCCCCTATTAGGGTCGCTGAACAGTCACTGAAACAAGAGGTTTATCCAACAGTAATGCCAAACACAGCTGATCTGTCAGTGGCACATTTAGATGCTCCTTCCATCGATGTCAATGAAGACTTAACTGTTAATCTGGATGTTGTGGTTGATAATATTGTTGCAACGACTGTCAATTCTATCGATAATACAGTACTGCAACCAGGCGCCAATCGGGCACCTGATTCTGAACCCGGTATAAATTCATCTGGAGCAAGTCCCCGAGTGGCACCAATCGAAGGGTTCGTTGTCGTTAATGAGGCTGGACATAATCAGGGCACAAGATCGCCCTCATTAGACCCATGGCTGAAAGCTCCGTATGCCGCACAACTTCCCTCTTCCGTTCCTCTTTCAAATCCACCCTCTCAGTCTGCTGCTTGGCCAACCGCTGCATGGGCAACTCCTTCGCAACCAACTAACTTTGCTCATTCGTCTCAGGAAGGTACCATGAGCATGCCAGTTACGAATGTTCCACATGCTAATATGATTCCATATTCTACACAGTATCCCTCACATCCTGTCAATGGAGGCATTGCAACAGGTGTCAGTCTCACGTCAGTGGGAATCGCCGCTAATGTAGAAGAGGAACCTGGCTCTCGGAAAAGGAAGAAAGGACCAGGGAAGACAAGAGAGAAGAAAGCCACCACCACCACTCCTCGACCTCGGGCACGAGCCAGGAAAGGCTCGGCTGCCCCGGTTGTTTCACCTCCGACTTCGTTGGACCCAAAAATTCCAACTCCTCAAACGATCTACGAGAGCTCTGCAGCAGCTGTGGTTGCGAGTGCAACCTCACCCACCACTCCCCTAGCATCAACTGTAGTAGAAAGAAGGGATGGCCCTGGGAGGCAAAGCCTTCATACGGACACTGCAAATTGGGTGGAGCAAGCTAGAGTAAGTTTTGAGGAAGCCATGTCTGCCGCTAATTCGGCTCAGCAAGAGGCTCAGCTGGTGACAACACAAACACCACAAAATCGCGTCCCTGGTAATGAAGCTAAGTATGCATCAGCTGCTGATGCTGTCAAAGTGGCAGCATCGGTTGCTAAGGCAGCTGCCGATGCCGCTAAGGTAGCATATGAGGCTGCTTTGCAGGCTCGACTTTATGCCTTTGAAGGTGTGGAAGGTAGCTCTGGTAGGAACTTTGCAAGTCTTCGAGCTGAAAAAGATGGTGCGGGAGGAAGGAGGTCTGCGATAGCTGCTGCTAAAGAAGAGGCTAGGAAGAGAGCATCTGGGACCCCAGGTGCAGGTAAGGCCAATCCCCAAAGTACAGACGCAGTTCTAAGAGCTGCAAAGCTGATGACTGAAGCTGCAGCGGAGGCAGGTGCAGTGCTTGCTAAAGGGAATTCTACACCATCAACATCATTTTTGTCACCATCTACCCGGACATTAGCCTCCTCAGGTGAAGAGGAAAAGAAGAGCAAAAGCTCTGAGAGAAGAGGACGGCCTCGGAAGGAGGTTGGGAATGCGAAGAAGGCTGGGCAATCAGAAGCTACTACTGAACAACACCCTGTTAAGACCCCAAAGGATGGCAAGCAATCCGGGAAGAAAGGAGCTCGGAGAAAGGGGAAAGATGCTTTGGACGCTGTTGCTTCAACAGCTAAGACACCACCGAAGAAAGCCGAAGACTCTCAGGGAAAACAATCACCAGACAAGTCTATACGACGTCAGTTGGAGCAATCAATGACTTTGGCGTCAAATGCAACTGATGCTGATCAACAATTTGCCGAAGGATCGCTTGTTGAGGTAATATCAAAGAGGCAATAGTGGTATCGTGGCCCTTCCTCCTTGGACTTTTTTTGGTTTAGACTACTTCATTCAAAAATAATTCGAAGAAGAAATCTTTCCTGAAATTTAACTATTTTCAGCAGTTTGGCCTCGTATAGCATGAATAGAATTTACCCATCAAAATTAAAAGACTGCACTAAGGACTGAAGTAGACAGCTGTGACACATTTTTTCTTACCTTATCCTTCATGTTTTATTTCTGTATGCTTGTTTGTCATGTTTCACACCAGTTCAACCTTGAGGCTGCACTGAATAAGAGCTTTTAGCTGAATACATTGATTTTTACATATGACATTGTTCATGGTAGTTTTCATTCTGGAGATATGTCCTCTTGAACAAATTAACAAGTGAAATAGGCTCTATGAAGTAGCCAAGAAATACCAACTGTCTCAACGTGTTGAGACTAACTGCTCTAAACTCAACGTTAACTGAACGTTAAGAAAAACGTTGGGCACAAACAGGGTTAAAAGTGAGGAGACTGAACTTGTAAGCTAGAGATCTCCGAAACGCACTTTATGATTGTATAAAAGGATACAACAAATTTGCTTACATAATTCCAGAATGTTTTTCCAGTGAAGGAACATAGATCCTTGAGCCATTGAGCCGTTGTGATGTTGCCCTGTGAATCTATGATAGTAGTAATTTTGATTATATTCCTCTTGGTTTGATGCTACTTCAATGGCAGTTCCTGAAATCACTGCCCTGCTAACATGGAGTACTGAAGTGTACCTGTGCGATTCTGGTGAACGTTATAATTAGCGTTGTGACATATGAAATATCAACCTGCTGTTCCAAGTGATCTGCGTGGATCCATTTGAAAGTGGATTAGGCTGCAAAAATACTTCGCTGTCATAAAGTCATAAATAATAAGTCATGGTTAGATTGGAAAGCACACAGGGAATAGTCAACAGCGGGGAGAAGTTTACAGCATATATTCAAGGGACACTAAAGATATCCATATATTCAAGAGACACACAGATATCATATCAGTCAAAGTCCGGCCCTTCGTTTGAGTAAATATATTCCGAATAAGATTCATCCCCGAGTGTTATTTCTGGATATCCGATATTTCTTGTCTTGCTATGGCATGTTTGTGTTGTGTCTGTTTTCATGTATCTGTTCGAACTGTTGTTGGTTTGTTCTATTGGGTTTTACCACGAACTATTCTTATAATCTGTTCATACTCTGGTAATGAGTGAATGCTGTTTGAGACTCATAACATGATATTTACCTGTTCTTCTGGGTAATTGACATCATCTCTTATATCGTGGTTGGGTTCTGCAGTCCAGTATAAAGCAAATGATGTTTTGCATTTTTTCCTGTCTTAACTCTTGTTTCATAGTGGTGTGATAGAGCTTCCATGTATATACTTTTCAAACTATAAAATATGTGGACATGCATTCGTCCTTGTGTGCTAGCAACGTGCACTGTCATCATTCATTCCTTGACAAGTGTGCTTGGGTTTTTCATCCTAAATGAACGCCTGTGTGTTTGAACTGGACAGGTCATGAATGATGAAGAAGGTCTCAGGGGAGGATGGTTTTCGGCCCAAGTGTTGGAGTTGAAGCCAGGACAAGCGTATGTTCAGTACGACGAGATCCTCACAGACGATGGTAAAGGACTTTGTTCTCTTCCCTAGATTTCTCCTCAACTTCATTTAGTATCATCACGCATCGTCCCGGGTACGCTTCGGGAAGATGGAAATTTCAGACGTCTTGATATCTCTGTATAATGTTAATTGTTTCTGCCCAAAAGTGCTTATTGTACGATCCTTAATAGACATGGCTATTTTCACTGTATCAGGCAAATATAAGTGCGAAATAGAGAGTCGTATCTTCAAATAGCTCAGATGTCTAATGTGGTTCTACTTATACATATAAGATTGTTCTGTAAACTGAAACTACTCTTCGCACATGTCGGTACAGTTTTGTTAAGGTGGAAATTTTATGCCCAAGAGAAAGAACTGGTTTTCCCAGTTGGGTTGTATGCAGTTACGTTATACCGTCTCAGGCCTACTGGCCTCTCAGGCGTACTAAGCCTAAAGCAGAAACATCGTTGGGTTCTTGCAGGTAAGACGAAGTTGAAGGAGTGGTTTCCTTTGGAAGGGAAGATGGAGGGACCAGAACCGGGTCGACCTAGAATTCGGCTGATTTCTCCTGATAATATGGCAAGAGAAGAGGGCAAGCAAGATAAACAGCGTAAGAGGCGAAGAACTGCTACAAAGGAACGAGCATGGGCTGTTGGAGATCGAGCGGATGCGTTCGTGCAAGATGGGTAAGTAATAAGTCACATGGCGTTACCTTGGCCCACATCTTTCACAGTATTAGATGCGGGATTTGAGGAGTAAATTTGAGAACTTACAGTCCTCTTTTAACTAGAAATTGGTGTTGTTGGTGTTTGCCTGTCTTAGCCTGACCGAGTAATAACAAAATGTGTTTTGCCTATTGTGGATCATCTAAGTTGGTTCAGTTCCATTTGCTTTGCCTGCCGTGTTCTACCTTCTGCCTTTTATTCTTCTATATTGTGCGTGAATCGTCATATATATATTGATGAAAATTGCCGCCTCGCGTTCACAGATGGTGGGAAGGGATTGTCAAATCTGTTGACGAGGATGAAAACAAAGTCACAATTCATTTTCCAGGTTAGTCATGAGTGTTCTGTCTGCTCGCCTCGGAAGGGAGAAGATTGATGTCATGTAACATAAATCTGTAAATGAGATCTATGCATATTATCATCATTATCTGCTGCCGTAGGGAATTAGAAGCATGAAACAACATGAGAGCAATGTTAAGATGTAGGCGCATGATCTGAATTGTGGATTGGCCACCTCCAGGTGAAGGAGACACTCAAACTGTCAAAGCCAAGAATTTGAGGCCATCCCTTGTATGGAAGAACGGAAAATGGGAGCAGTGGACAGGTTACGGCAACACGCAGGGTGCCAAAAAGGTTGCAACCGATTCTAAGCAACAATATCTTGTATTGGAGCTCATCCTCTGACAATGTTTGTCTTGAATAATCTTAGACATGTCTGTGGACGAACGGGTGAAAGTCCGAGAGTCTTAATTCCTGTATTCCATTTTCTTTGAATCTTGAGTGCAGGACGAAGATCAGTCTGCCAAGCGCCAAAAGTCGGGTATCAGTCCCAAAGCTCAAGCTCGGAAGACACGGAGAAAATCGAATAGTGAGGTCAAGGCTACTGAAGAAGGAAAGGAATCCCCCAGGACAACACGGAGAGGGAAGCCGTTAGACTTCCAAGGAGAGAATCAGCCATCTCCGGCGGTAGTCACCACGAGAAGTTCTCCAAGGCAAAAGCTTCCTCCGAAGAGGAAAGATGGTGCGAGCAAGCTAGCAAGTCCAGAGTCTGAGGTATCGAGACCAAACCAAGTATCAACTCCAGTCAGTACGCGGGCTCGGTCATTACCTCAGGATGCGGTAATATCAGATAAAGAGCTTAGCCAGGGGAGATCCCCTGCCACTGGGTCGGCAAATCAGACAAAGTCACCTCTGAGTCAAAAGGTGGGAAAGAAAAACCACTCGAAGGAGAATGTGGAAACACTTTCTAATATGCGTAATTTGAGAACTAATAGAGAGCAGACTCCTAGTCCAGTGATTGGGACACCAACAACACGGCAAAAGGCCAAAGCTGGAGCTTCTCCGCAGAACCAGAGGTCTGCTAGGGTATGTTCTATAGTTAATCTACCTTGAGCAACTGTGATAAAGTCTGCAACCATATGATAATGTTAATGGGTCAGTTGACTGGAGTGTTCAAAACATGACTGGTGTGGACAATCTGGTTACCGCTTCAGGATATGTAGGCGCTTCGACCCCTGATATTTTCTATGACTTGTCTCTAGTAGCCTACAGAGAAGATTCTCGTCCTTTGCCCAGAACTTTGTTCCATATTAACCTGGTACTGACTTGGAGGTTTTTCGATGGAATCATGAGTAGTATGTTGTACTCTGATCCGATTTCAATCTTTTAGATTGAATGAAGCTTCCATAATAGTCACACGATCTCGTACCTGTGTAAGATCATACAAAATTTTTGTATGATAGAACCCTACTTCATAGGTTTGACTGAACGGAGTGAGACCATATCACGACTACTCCGCTCATCCTGTTGCATTCTTAGATGGAAATAACATCACGATAGAGAGTCGAGGGATAATAGCTACGATGTTGATTAATTGGTTGTTTAGTTAAGGTCGGCATTCACAAAACATATTGAGTATTAACGTTCCATAATCAGATTACAACCAACAAAATAGCTCGACTTGCGGCATGACAGTCGCTTAAGTGTGGAAGTCGAACCTTAGTTCCAAATCAGCGGATGTAGTTGTGATGTATTTTTCTCCTGGTCTTTCTTTCCTTTCTTCCATGTTTATATTCTTAGATCACTATCCTTGTCATCTTGCATTAACAGCTACTTTTTGATACTCCCGTTATATTCTATGGAACTTTACTTGTTTTCTTTAACTTTTCTAGCCCAAGCTAGTCGTAGTTATATACGTGACCCTAGAATAGAACGTTGAATGCTTTTGTGTTCTTTGGGTTCAGGGCGTAGGGTTTAGAACCTGAACCCTAAGTTCATAAATAAGCAGGAATGTTTCAATTTACCGATGAAAGCGTTGGTTTTGCGTTAAATGCATGCACTGATTGGGATGGCATGTTTGACGTCATACAGGTGTGAGAAGCTGCACACAAGTCACATTCTGTGGAGCTTTGACTCTTGAACATTCCCTGATTCGTTTTCAGGAGGTACAGTATGTTTCGGAAGACAGTCTTTTTAGTCCTACTTGTTAACGAGATCAGTTGTGTTGGGAATACAAGGGTTAGGCATGGTAGAGTCTCTGACAGAAAATTGGTTGCCCATCCTCGGCATCAAAGAGGCAGCTTAGTTATGGAATTGTGATGTACATCAAGATACCAGTAGTTGTCCCGGAGCTCTCGCTGTACATTGAAGGTGCAACAGTGTTGCGCATCTGACCCTTGTCACAAACTTGGTCAGGACTGCATGCACTATATGAAACACAGAAGTCGGATAGTGAGATGTAGATAGGAAACAAGTAGAGGATGAAGTGTAGGGTTCATGAAGCGGGTTTGGTCTTGGGTGAATCTACGATCTAACCCGAAGCGCCAGTGGACATTAGTGATCGAATAGCGGTCAATTAGGGCCCGAGGAGGGAAATTCTCAACAAACAATTCATATCGAGCAAAACCAGAATGTCTAGATGAAAGACTCCAAGATGTACTATGTTTTTGATGAGTGCTACCTCAGAGAAGTCTATCCAAATCACGTCTGTTGGGACCTTCAGAGGGATTGTCTGATATATTGGGCGTATTTTCTGGACACTTTTATGAATGCGTATATATCTTCATGTGATGCATTTCCAGTTTGGGATCTTGTACTCAGCTTAACATTCAATGAGTTTTGGTTCAGTTGCAATTTGATGGGAAGTCTACTCTAGCAGATCGTTGGCAATTTCCGAACAAACAGAAGCAAGCTTCTTGAAGAACGCTCTTTGTCCGGCAATGGCGCTGGAAGTGTTGCTGCTCAAATTTTGAAGAAAGACTATACTGCTGCATTAGGAGTACAGTACTGACGCCTGCTTAGAGGTGAATGGCTTTCGATTATAAGGTATATCGAGACGTGGCGAGTCTAGTCTGTTCCTTCGGATGTATTTCTTGCCCACATTGGCTGCTCTTGTACTGTGGAAGCTTTCATACTCGTGTGATCACTTATCTTCGTTGAAGGTTCAGCCAGAGAGCCAGGATTACCGAATGCAGGGTACGTCTCATTGTTCTGCACATCGTTTTTTAATTGCAGTTTGTTGATTTGAATCTTTACAGAGTTACACTTCAAGACCAGCAGACACCGTGTGCTCCAGGAATTGTTTTCGGCCGTGAATCCTACAGTGTGGTTCATTTGAGGAACTTCGCGTCCTCTGCCCACGAATTGAGTGGATTTGACTGGAATTGACGAGCGGTGCGTAGGTCGTGGATGATATTAATTTTTCGTGCCATTGTATGCAACCACTAGAGAGATTCACTAGCAGGCAGAGACTTTAGGTTGTGTGATACATACCAATTTGTAAGATGTATATGAGTTGAGAGAGGTCAAGAAACAGTTCAAAATAAAATGGATCTGGCTGCAGCCTTTGAGTAACGTCCCCTTTTTCTTTCGCATTGATTTGACGAACTCGATGTTCAAGAGGGGGTTTTGCTCGTATATTCTCGCCATTTGTGTATTTTTGTGCCTTATCTTTGATCCACATTATTCGATGAATTTCTTTTTGTCAAAGCTGTCTTAACTTATTGCTTACAAGAGGATGACGATGAAAAAGTACTCGAAGTACGTGTAGAAGACTGCATGGGGCACATCGCATGACAAATACGAGATAAAAGCCCTCTAAAGTTCCTATATTCAATTCGTCGGAACGTGTGATCCAGACAGAAGAAATGGATTAACCGTGTACAATTGAAAACAACCGTCCGAAAGATTCATGCTTCCATTCTCATTGAAAGAGAACTACGTTTCAATGCCTCACTGACGGGTTTTGAAACCTTATTTCGATAGAAATCAGTTCTATCCTCGCCCCCAAGACCGTCCGAATACACCATAGCCGATAAGGTATAAGTGGATCTTCAGGATCCCTGAGACAGCGAGAAGTATGAAATGATCCAACAGCATCCATCACGAAGGATAAAGCTGAAAGGAAGCCACCATCCACTTTTGCAGTGATGAAGCCATGGTGGAAAGATGTGACAGGTCCAAAAAGCGTCGTAGTGGTTCATAATTTCTATCTAACCTCTTGTGCGCTAGGGATCCGGAGGTGCAAAGAGGGAGAGGCTCGAAACCAAAGTACGAATTCTAGACCCTTTCAAGCCTTTCTGCCCTTCACTCTACATCAATTGGAGAATTTGTGCGAAAAGCATCTTATTGTATTTAAGATATATGGTTATGACTATGTCAAAATTTTTTATTATGACAAGACCATCCTGATTAGTAATACTCATGTATTGCACCAGCTAGCATTCTGTATAACAAAGGATGTGAAATGTACATGAGATTTCTGTATTTGGAGATAGCAGACATTAGTGAGAAACTTTGCCATTTAAAAGTTAGACATTTTCATCCATCGTCATCATCGAAAGTGGACTATGCTCCATCGACTGGTAATCACAACTTTTATTTTGCCTGTCTTCGACATCATCAACATTGCAAGAAACCTTTTACTTTCCATGTCTTCCATATCATCATCATTTATGTCCAACTTCAGCTCTTCCTCCAAGAAGCATTGCACGCCTTTTCTGATATCCAGGGCATCTTCTTTGCGGCCTTCAACAGCTAAAATAATGGTATTCGCGAACCGGAGGTACTCGAGTCTTTCTAAACCCTATTTGTCAGCCACTTACAGAAGCGACCTTCGGCCCAAAGGGCATTAGAAAATACTACCACTTGGATTCTTTTGTGTGGATCGATGTGGTTCTACAGAATGAGGTTCTCTGTATCGCATACGTTCAAGTGTTGAAGCCATGTTTCTCATTATCGTATCATGACAGATGAAGACATGTAACATATTCACTCTCTACTTGTTTTCACAATTAAAGGAAACCCATGAAAGGGAAAAAGCAAAGAATCTCCTAATCTCGATGTAACAGACACAAGAATTATATATGGTCGTGTCATTCATCGCTGTGTTAGATTGCGAACCGATGGTTGGTAAAAGGGTCTGGATCGGTGAGTGGACAAAAGGTCGATTTCCACCGAAGTCTTAGACTGGAACTTTTCGACAATTTCGTCGTCGAATGAAGCGCTTTCTGTCTCTGTGCCCGGACGACCCTCGAGGCGAAGAAAAGGAGGCGCTCGATGGATTCGAGTCCCCACTTCCGTGTCTCCGTCCCTCCCTCCCTCCCTGCCCCCAACCGTCCGGACCATCGACAGCAGACAAAACAAAAGCCAGATCTTCGGCTCAGCGAACGAGCCAACGAGAGAACGAAGCCCCCGGCGCGCCTGCTCGTCCTCCATCTCACGACTCTTGTGCATGGCCCTCCCACGTGACAGATCGCCTCCACGCGGCGCAGAGCAAACGCTTGCCTGCCGTTCGTGCCCCTCCGGAGTCTGGACTGCTGCGGCAGCAGCCGCGGAGATGGATGACACGATCGATGGCGCGCCCGGCCCCACGCTCCCGCCTGCCTGCCTGCCTGCCTCCCCACCTACGGATGGGTACGGCTCCGTACGACGGAGCACGAAGGGTTCTGCGAATTCTGGCACCTCGACGACGGAGCTCTGCGATTCCGAACGCTGCTCGGGTCGAGGTCCAAGATCGAACTTTGTATCCGATCGAATCTCCACGTGGGCTCGTTGTGGCGCCAGGAGGGCTCTTACTTGGGAAGAAAAGTCGGTTCCACGAGCAAGATTCTGCGCCGCTTGATTCTTTGACATTTGCAGCTTCGCATGATTTGCCTAAATCAACCGATTTCGTATGTGGAACATGCATCTAGTTTGGATCGTCCCACTATCTCCTTAGATATGTTACGAGGGTTATCAGATCTGTGGACCTATTGTGGACGTTTGGGCAAGAAAAATATCCCCAAGCACTTTTGTACTCTTGTTTCCTATAGTATTATCCTGATTATTTATCGTTGATTTATTCCGATGGGCTAAACACTCTAAGCCATGGATGGTGATGCACTTCTTTTATTTCTAGATAGTTGAGCTCTTCTGCCCTCTATTGAACTCTCTATCTCTATCATTTGTGATGGGGCTTAATTACAATCGTATATTTTAGAAACTTTGTTACTTCCTGCAAATTGTAGCGTGGTTCATTCGATTGAGAGAAGTATATCTTGTGTGAAATTTTAAGAATTATTTGGACATGTAAAGCACAATATACATAAAATTTATAAAGGTGTTAGAAATCAATATAGGTTTTCTTTAGCTCTAATTACTTTAACAAATGTTAGTTGGATTAGAGTTGCACTTGACACCACTGTTCAACACAAAACTAAAGTTTTCTCGGAAAGTTTAGCGTAGCGTCACTCCTATCTGAAATGAACTACATCTTTTTGATTGATTGTCTTGCGTCTTCAGGTTCGCATTGGCTCTTAAAGATTTTCCACCAAACGTTCTTTTAGTTCTAGACTCTGACTCCTACAGCACAACACTCAGGTAAATAGGAAATTAAGACATTTGAAAAACTTGAAATTGTTCCACAAAAGAATATATAGAAGATTTGAAATGTGCATCCGGGCAGTTGCTCAATCATCAACATTTGAAAAACTTGAAATTGTTCCACAAAAGAATATATAAAAGATTTGAAATGTGCATACGGGTAGTTGCTTAATCATCACAATCCATGGATTGATGAAACTACATGTTGTTGAAAATTGGAACGGTAAATACATTAGGAGATAAGATGTAGGTGAAATTTGTGAGTTTATGACATAGGATATCATTTATGTTTGATTGCTATAGTAATATGATATCGTAAGAATTGCATCATTTAAATCTATTTGTGTACTTCTTCAATTCATTATGCAAATTCAAAGGGTTTGTAAAAGAACATGTGTATTGATGTGTAAGTACATTGTATCTTGACAATCAAGAGCAAGTGGTAAGAATTTTGTAGTAAAATCATTGTCATCATTTTTAAGCCATTTATACATGATTAAAATAGGTGTTAAACACATTATGACACACATCATAAGAGCAAAAATTAGATCTCATTGAATCAAAATTACTTGAAAAATTAAGTTTTATTTGTCATATGATTGATAAATAATTTAAATCCATTCAAAATTGCTATTACTTTTGGAAAACTATGAGCAATGTAAAATAACAAGAATTGTGATAATCAATCAATGTTAATGTTTATTATCAGATGAATGTGAACTTTTTAATAACAGTTGGAGTAAAAAGTATTGTTTTGATATTTTGATGAAATATCAAAATTTGAAGATGATGATTTTATTTGATATGTCGAAGAGAATGCAAAATTTAGGTATGAAAGATTGTACGCAGTTCTGCTGATTTTGAATCTTATAAAACTTATGAATGTGCTCAAAAGATTCTTATAATTGGATTCACAAAAAGTAAAGGCGGATGTATACGTCAATTTTTATCAAAATTTTAAACTATAAAAAGAATCAAAGTCATGACCCATAAGTTTCTAGAATGACAAGAATGAAAAATGGCAATGTTAAATTTTGAAATAATGCAATTACAGTTAAGCATTTCAAATTTTTTAAGATAACATACTTCTCAATATTAAGATGATAAATTTTTTTGCTCATTCCAGTGTTTTCAATTTTTTTCTACAGATTAGTTTCATTTTTTGAAATTTAAATAATTTTTATGTAGAATAAAACTTTCAGATCCAATAATTTATTTATCTCTGTATCATAAGATTAATCGTACAGTTTTAAAATTTTCACTATTAAAAAGATAGAGTTATCAACAAGATTTATATATGAGCCAATTCTAACATTGAAGATTATCTATCCATTTTTTTCATAGTTGAACAATTTCAAACTTATTCCTCAATTTCTACATCTAGGTGTAAATAGAGTTCAAAGTAAATACATATTTTGATCTGATATTCCTTGATTTTTATGCTATTGAGTTCTACATTATTTTTCACAATACTTTTATCAACTATATCACCTCTATTCAAATTTTTTTTTGGTACATGAAATTTTCTGATTATATCTTATTTCAAATTAATATTTTGCTGTTTTTTTATGCCTGGAAACTGCTTTTCATTTGTTTCATGAAAATTGTATAAATAAAATTGGTGGAATGTATTTTCATCTAACGTTTCATATACACATGATGGTAATGTCATTCTAGTTTATTTTGAAAGTGTCATTCATTTTCAAAATTAAGCTTATCAAAAATAAATTAAAAAAATTCACAAATCTAATTTTACATCAAAAATCATATGTGAGATTAATAATTCATATTTTTAAAGTTTTGTACATCTATACATCCAAGCATACTATTCATTTGATTATCCGAAGACACGAAAATGTATTATTGATGGCTAATTGATGTATATATTTCTGTATTTTTTTAAAATTTACATTCATCAAAAGTAAATTTTTTTAAACACTTGTAATGATACGAACATCAACCATTTACACAAAGCCATCCATTGATATTGATATGTGTCATACATTTCCGATTATTCTGTGATCATTTTTTGATAAAACATTTAAACATTGACAAAGCATTTGACTGTATTTTAAGATACAGTCAAATACATAGCTATTTTAAGATATCTATGTATTAAGCAATTTACAACATAAATTTTTATAAAGAGTTATTATGAATGTATGTTCAGAATATGCGTTAATGTACCAAATTTATATGTGGTGCATATATGCCATATTCACACTACTGATTGGATTTTTTCTATCTGTTAAGTAGTTAGAACTTTGTATGATATCAAAAGAAGTTAATAAGTTTTGATATCATGTGTGCTGTAAGTTTAGAAAAAAAATTAAAATTTAACACCAATCTTTCACATGATCATATCCATTGGATACGATATCAAGATTTGACTTTTTTCATTGCTAGGTGATGTAGGGGGAGATTGTTGTTATAATTTCATGATCATGTTAACTTATTGTATGTCAGATACTGCAATCCCTTGAAAGAATTAAGTTTTAGTTGTAGTCCATGTTTCCATGTGTGTGAGATCACACATGCACATCATTATTCAAATAGGTGGTTTTATACATACTAAACCACAAAATGTGGGTACAACTTACAAAGATTGATTTACATTTATGAATCACTAACGTTTGCAAATTCAATAATATGCATGATGAATGATCTATCCCAATTCTTTTGAAATCAAATTCCAGTTGAAATCTAAAATTTCAATCGTGCGAAAGTACCGAATATACATGATGACTCATACGAAGGCAGATAATGTTGGCATTTTGTAGCAAATTTGATATCAAACCAATATAAGATGAAGAAATATGATAGCATACTACGACGAGCTTCCTATGTGGAGGACATGCATACCAAATCACACTGATGAAGGTGAGAAATACGAACAACCTTTTACTCAAGAGCTCTTATATTCGTGTCTCTATATATAGGCGTGTTGTCTTGAGTCAAGACTACGACGAGTTTAGTTTGTTCCCCCTTCCACAAATACCTCTTGCTTCCACATTTACTCTAGGTATCAAGACCCTCCATAAACAAATAACAAGATAATAAATATTTAACAAAGTTTCATTTATAAGAGGATCGCCAAGCATAGTAAAGTATTCGGTGGTGCAGTGGTGGGTGGGGAGTTGGGCTTGGCAGCTGGCGGTCTCCATCAGCACATTTCCATGCGATGGGAAGAGCTCCTGCTCGGGCGGATGAAGCGCAGCCCGCTGCAGGTCATGGACTCTGGGACGGGGGTTCGGGCTCCTCATGAGAGCTCTACACTCGATCTCCACACAAATGTGACCGTGAAATATTCTACGAGCATATCGCACACGAGCAGCACACAGATGACAGAGGAACGGGAGGATTTTGTCAAGAGTCTCATAAGCCTTCCGAAAAGCCTTTCCGAAACCGACAAATATTCGGGCCGAAGAATAAAAAGGGAACATTGGGCTGATTCGAGCGGAGGGGCAAGGCTGAATGAGAGGCGGGGATCCCAGCTGACCGACGTGGCCGTCCCTCGATGGGACTCGGAAATCGGTATCAGAGATTTCGGCCGATCGGCACATGAGAAGGCCATCCCATCCCGGTCTAGCCACGGTTAACGCTAACCGCGGTTGGCGGTGTCGGCAGGCTCGCTCGTAAATACCGACCCCGGTCTCGGTTGTTCCGTACCACCAGCGGCAGCAGCTCGTCGCCCGCTCCCGGTCCTCTTTCTCATTCGCCGCCAGAAGACCGGACCTCACTTTCTGTCCCGAGCGCCCTCCATTTGGCCGCTCCTGCGCTTACCTGCACCCACCGTCCCCTGCCCTGCACCGGACCTCGGGCTCTCCTCGTCGTCCTCGTCGTCGTCGTCGTTGCTCTCTCTTGAGGAGCGCCTCGCAGACATTTCACAGTTGGCGTCCGAGCGAAAGGAAGGCTGCAACGGGTGGCGCGGGCGAGGAGCGTCTGGGAGGAGCGTTGGGGAGAGGAGTCGAGAAGAGAAGAGAAGAGGAGTCGTAGCAAGAGAAGGAATTTGCGAGGAGACGAGAGGAGACGAGAATGGCTGCTATGGCAGCAGCGGCGGCAGGAGGGATGGCAGTGGCGGGGAGCGGACAGGTCCCGGCGATGCCAGCCTCGAGTTGGCTCGGCAGCGGCACGAGGAAGAGCCTCGGGGCGCTGCGGGGATTTCGTGCCGCGAGCTCTGCTTCGTCTTGTTCCGGGAGCGAGCTGCGGCGGGCTCCGCCTGCGCAGTTCGTTCGATCTCAGGAGAATGGCCGCGGCAGGACTCGAGCTCTTGATACGTCGACCGCCGCTTCGGCTGCTGCATCTGGCACGCTTTTGTCGTCCGATGGTGAGTGCGCGATTGGGTTTCTGCTCTCTCTTTTGTGGGCCGGGGATTTTGGGCTTTGCATTTTGGGCTTTGCATTTTGGGCGAATTCGCGGATTGGTTTGGTTCCGCGTTTTCTGGGGGGCGACTGGCCTTCGTTTTGGGTCGGCCTTCGGTTTTGGGGCGGGAGATTGAGTCCGATATCCGAAGCATCGTTGACGGGCGATGCAAATTTCTTAGTGAATTTGCTTCTGCTGACGCCTGGATTTTTTTTCGCTCCGGGAATTGGATTCTCCGACTCTTTCTTGCTTGGCTCTCGATTACCGCAGTGGTGGGTGTCTTGATGGTCCAGCTTCCTCTCATGTCGAGGACCAGAGGTTGTGGAGTAAGTGTAGGTTGATTAACGTGACTTAAGCTACGGGTTATGTGAGTCTCTTTCCACGTGTGCCGTTCTTTATTATCTTCTGGAGAAATTCTTTTGACGTGCTATTTTTTTTTTCGAAATCATACTAGACCGAGTGGCTTGTCGTTACCATTGTATCGTCTGACGAGCGGATGTTTAACGATATCTGGCTTTTTCTCTCAATTGAACATGTCATGTGACATGTCAAGCTCGTTGTACTTCACTCTTCGGTTGCTTTTGAGCTTCGGCCTTAGCCAATTCACATCACGATATGACACTTGTCGACAATTTATACTGGTACAAACTTGGGACCGGCTCGGAAACGATTTCTTTGCAGCCAGTTTGAGTCGCAGTCAGGAGACGCTTCTTGAACCTGCTACGTACGAAGTTCGGAAAATATCTTTTGCCCAGGCCAGCAACAGTTTTCACCGGAACCTTCGTGTATTTCTCAGTTTTTTAGGGGGAAAATTTGAGGTTTGGGCGTGTAAAGAGAAGAGGGGCTGTTGTGTACATTGCAGTGCACAGTCCTTCATCATGATTTCCTGACTCCTGTTGTGTCATTTTGAGAGAAGATACTTTTGTCAAGTCGTTAGCGTCCTAGAAGAATGAAGTTGTTATCCGTTGTCGACTTCCATTCGGACGCATTGAGTTTTTCTCGCCCTTTTTTCAAGCGGTTACCGTATACTTGCTTTAGTGGAATGATTGTACGGTGAACTTTCTCCGTGCTCTTGTCACTAGGCTACCATGAGGCTGCTCATAGCGTGTGTCGAACCATCACAATTAAGAGCTTGATAGTCTTATGTAAATTATGCGTATCTATCTGAAATGATAGGGCTTTCCTCGCAAGGGGAAATTTTGACTAAAAATAATGTTTACGCCTGTAAGGTAGATTCTTTTTCCGTCGGAAGGACAGAGAGCTCAGATATAAACTTGTAGTGGGGAAGCAGTAACCAGTAGATGGCACGTTCTTGCCACTCCCTTTCTAATTATTATTTTCACCAACAATTTTTTCTAAACTGTTTATTTATCTCCAGTACGTATAGGCATCTTATGTGGGGTGGTGCATTAGGGTACAGCAGGCAGCACGAACGTGGATTTGCTGCTTTATTATAAATGCTTTTGTTACTCATGGATCTCATGGATCGTGTGACGCTTTATCTTGTTCCATTGATTGATTTCTCTTGTTGCTGTTCCTGAATTCCAGGTGTAGGCTCGCCTGTAGGCACAAAAAAGACGGGAGAGGCGCCGTCTGAGACTTTGCACCAAGAATTTAAAGATCTCATCGGAGATGTTACAGACAACGAAGAGACTGTGTCCATCACTGTCGTTGGTGCCTCCGGAGATCTGGCAAAGAAGAAAATTTTTCCGGCCTTATTTGCCCTGTTTTACGAGGGCTGTCTACCTAAGGTGGGCTGAACTGTCTGTGTTTGTTCTAGAATTGCGGTTCAGGGTGGTGTCCATTTGACCTTGTGAGCATTTTGAATTTAACCTATTTTCTGTGCATGGAAACATCTGTTTCAACTGAAGTGGTGCGCATGAAGGATGTGAGGTTTTTTCTCAAATGGGAGCCCTCCTTAGACTTTGTGATGTGCCTGAGATGCAGTATGGTGCACGCCAGTTACTAAAGGGCTACCATATGTGTACATATGAGCTCAATGTCCGTAATAATGAGTGAAGTACGTTGTGGTTATTTTGAGGGCACCGTGTTAAGATTATCCTGGATTGCAGCATTTTACCATTTTCGGGTTCGCCAGGAGCAAGATGACAGATGAACAGCTGCGCGAGATGATAAGTGGTACTTTAACTTGTCGAATTGACCAAAGGTACGTTTGTTTTCTAGTTTTTTAAGTGTTTCTAGTTTCTGCTACTTTCTCTCAAGCTTTCTTACTTCTTTGTGCCTTTGGCGGAAGGATCCATGAAGGTCAACGAGCTGGAATTGTCTCGCCAAATATGCTGAATGTGAAGAAGCGAAGAAATTGACGAACATATTCAAGGATATGTGGACTAACGGCTGTGCTTTTACCTTATGTCAGGGAGAACTGCGGTGACAAAATTGGAAATTTTTTGCAACGGTGCTTCTATCATGCAGGACAGTATAGTTCCGAGGACAACTTTCGACAGCTTGACACCGAGCTAAAGAAACACGAGGTAGTTCTTTTACTTCCCTGATGTTAAGGAATGTCTGCCTGGGTTATGTTCTGTGTAGCTCAGGATAGGTCGCTCTCCACTGTCTATACCTCGTACGTTTTTCGACGTATGGCTTGTATACTCCTGAATCATAGTGCTAAGTCGTCGACAGTTAGGTAAGTGCCGATGGATGTTTTCTTTACCACACGTTAGCCTCGCTGTGTACATGCTGCTCTGGTAGATGTCTCTTGACAGGTATATGGTGATTCGCGTGGTTGATGTCCACTGTCCGTTCTTGAAAATGAAACACGTACAGTTTACAAAAATTGCAGGACCTTGTAACGTGCACAGGATACCTATTTTCTTGCGGTTTTACTTTTTCTGTCACGCCTACACTGATTGTTTCTTAAGCTGGATGCATCCTCGATCCTATTCTCCTCGTAGCTTTCTTGTCGAATTTACTTCTGCTGTTCGTTTCAATCAGTGACGTTCACCGGGCAGTCGTTCGATTTTCCTGTACTTCAGGAACTATCAGATCGCGTCGAGTCTTGAAAGTGACTTTCTGCACGTACCTGTGGATGTTCAGTATCAAGTCTAGTTCAGAATAGGCTGTCTTATTATATTTTTCCTCTTTTGTAGGGTGGCAGAGTGGCAAACCGGCTATTTTACTTGTCAATTCCACCAAATATTTTTGTTGATGTCGCACGAAGTGCAAGCCGTGGTTCATCATCATCAAGAGGCTGGACAAGAGTTATCGTTGAGAAGCCATTTGGTCGTGATTCTGAATCTTCAGCTGAGCTTACCAGGGGGCTGAAGCAATACCTCACTGAGGAGCAGATTTACAGGTAAGCTGTAAAACCTCCAGTCGGCGTCACGTTATAGAAATCTTAAGCCAAGTACTGTTCAGTATTACTGGCTTGGCTATGCGACTTTTCCATCTATCGTACACTTTTATTCATTGTGATGTACATATATTTTAATCGTTATAATTTTTGCAACAGAATTGATCATTATCTCGGTAAGGAGCTCGTGGAGAATCTCTCCATTCTCCGTTTCTCAAATCTCGTATTTGAGCCTTTGTGGTCAAGACAGTACATCCGGAATGTGCAGCTAATTTTCTCTGAGGACTTTGGAACAGAAGGGAGAGGAGGGTAAGTCTCAACTGTCAGTCGTTGATGCCCTTATGTTTATGGCACATCATGGTTTTGTGATGTTGTTCGTTGTGGATGTGGAGCAGACCAGGAGTGTACTTTCCTGATCCGTGACGAGTTGCTTGATTTCAGATACTTCGACAATTACGGTATCATTCGAGATATTATGCAAAATCATCTTCTCCAAATTTTAGCTCTCTTTGCAATGGAACCGCCTGTGAGCCTGGATGCCGAGGATATCCGAAATGAAAAGGTGCACTTCTCCTAGACACAACGAAATCTAGGCTTTCTCGGGCTTGGACTCTTTGAAGTCTTCATAGTCATGAAGTCATTCAGTTCTAGCTAGTGTCGTGGGTTTCTTCGTTGCTAAAGGGAGCATCCAAGCAGTATCTCCTGTCGGTCTGATGTTTAGTTGGAATCTTTATGTTATTGCAGGTAAAAGTGCTGCGATCCATGAGACCTTTGCATATCGAGGATGTCGTGATTGGGCAGTACAAGGGCCACAGAAGGGGCGGTGTGAACTATCCTGCATACACCGACGACAAAACAGTTCCAAACAATAGTATCACGCCCACATTCGCCGCGGCTGCTCTTTTTATTGATAATGCTAGATGGGATGGGGTTCCCTTCCTCATGAAGGCTGGCAAGGCTCTACACAGGAAAGGGTAAGACTCGATATCAAACCTGCGCTGTTTGCCAATTATTGCATGTCCCTCTACTCTGGTTCTGAACTTTTTTAATTGTTATGGTATCTTGTCCTGCAGGGCAGAAATTAGGGTTCAATTCAGACATGTTCCTGGTAATTTGTACAAGAGGAGCTTCGGTACCGATTTGGATCAAGCAACGAACGAGCTTGTAATTCGTGTGCAGCCCGATGAAGCCATCTACTTGAAGATAAACAACAAAGTTCCAGGGTTGGGTATGCGTTTGGATCGCAGCAACCTCAATCTACATTACGCTGACAGGTATGTTCAATCTTTGTTTTTGAGCTTTGAAGCATTCAAACGGTTTTAAACATCCCAATAAGCAAGAGCATCCCGATAGAAGTTTAGTGTTCATCGTCATGTCGACGGCGAAGATGCGCATTACCTACTTCTAGCTGTTTCTTTAGCTTCAAAGCCCAATTGGTGGGATTATCCCTTTTTTCATTTCCTTTAATACTTTTCGACAGATACGACAAACTCATATTTTCATATTTTATCAGATATTCTCATGAAATTCCCGATGCCTACGAACGTCTTTTGCTCGATGCAATCGAGGGAGAGCGTCGACTGTTTATTAGAAGTGATGAGCTCGATGCCGCCTGGGCACTTTTCACCCCATTGCTGAAGGAGCTCGAGGACAAGAGAGTAGCACCAGAGTTGTACCCGTACGGGAGCAGAGGGCCCGTGGGTGCGCATTACCTGGCTGCCAAACACCATGTAAGATGGGGAGACATGAACACAGAGGTGACCTCCAAATGAGGAGATATTTCTTGGAGTGAAGGTGTAGAGGGAAAATCCTCCTTGTAAATTACAAATGCGCAGTTCACATACTTCCGATACGAAATCGCTTGCTTGTCAGGTGTCTAAATGCAGAATCACACATAGAGGTTTGTTTCAAGTGGAGCAGAGCTTGCAGTTGCAAGACACCGAGCAGTTCTTCAAAGCCGGCTTACAACCTCCACCAGAATAATCTACCGGCATACCGGCAGACATTTTTGAAGCTCAGCACCATAACATGCGAGAGCGCGTCATGCTGCTGAGCTTGAGCCTGTCTAAGCTTTTGACTTCGTGCCCCATTGTCTGTTAGATACTTGAAGTCAATGAGAAACTAGGTGTCAACAAATTGTAGTATTCAATTTAGCATCCCTCTATGCAATTGAAGAAAGCCCCGCATGAGTTTGTTTCTCTGGGAGCTTTGTGAATATCGTGTATCATTTTGTTCCAGGTTTTACCGAAGTGAAGTTGTCTACGCTTAGCGCGAAGTAAATTGTCATATGTAAAACGTGATTTGCATTTTTGAGGCTTCGATTGACATGCAGCTCTTTAATAAATTGACAGGCACTCATGAGTTATTATCCGTTGCAGCTGGAAACAATCATAGAACATGAGTTTCAGGAACTTTTTCGTACTTTGAACCCTTGAACATATGGTATTTGTTGGTAACTTTGTTTTCAAGCCGAGATGATTTCTTCACCAACTGTGTCAGCAAGATCATCGTCAGTGGCTTCCAAGCCCAGTGCCTGCCATGGTCGGAGAAACAAGAAATAATTACCACAAAATCTGCTAGAAGGATCATATCCTGTCAGCTCTTTGATAGGTATTAGAAAGAATAGCAATGCAAGAAGGGTAAGCACCTCACCTGATAAATAGAAAGTAACACGTTCTGGTCCACGAAGGGACCCAAAGCAATTTTTCTTTCTCTCATTTTTTCTATAACGTGAAACGCCTGCAAGACAACGAATACTCGTCATGAGCTCTCTCTGGAAAAGACAGCGTGAATCACAAGCAGGTGAACGCACAGCCAATTTAATGTGGCGGAGGGAACGTTCTGATCTCGAAATGCACCGGGGACAACAACTGATCTTACGAAAACTGTCTGAGAATGAATGAGTAGCGAACCTGCTCCATGCTTCCTTGACTGAAGTAATACTCAATGAGCAACGCATGAAGATCGCCAATTCGCACCGATGCCTGAAAAGGGCCACATCAATTCACAGGTCCTGTTGTATAGTACGACCTCTCCTATCGAGAAGAACGTTCACCTTCTTCAGTGTATCAATACGTTTAGACGATGCTGCACCTCGAAACTGAGTGACAGTATGAGATGGGGACAATCACCTGAGTGCTGGTTGCAGATTTCGTCAGTTGAGTGAGAAGTTCGTTACAGGCTTGAACTAATCCGGCCGGATCACCTTTTGCCATTTTTCTTACCTGTCATGACATGCACATGTACATCCAAGGTGAAATTTCTCCGCTCCAGTTAAAATTAAGTAGACTCTCTTTTCAAGAATAAGGCGTGAACTTGTTGTCGCTTGAAAAGCCTTACGATTGTGCATCACACAGGGACTAACAGAGTTTGCATCTTAAGAAAACCAGTTTCCACTCTCAAACTTTCACATGAGTCTTCCAGTGTTACAAATAGTTTTGAATTACGTGTCAATTGATAAGGTACTTAAATTACCTGGACGAACTGTTCAACTTCTGAAATGCGTCTTTTCAAGGACTGAATTTCTTCATCTTTGTATGGGCTCTTTGAGTTACTAATATACTTCAGTGCCTCTGTCATGGCTCCCAGAGCCTGCACGAAGTTAATGTTAGCTCATCTAATCTTGTAGTCTCGATCAACCCGCTCAATGCTGATTTGAAATGAAGTTGACCAAATGAAAAGGTGAAAACCTTCCTTCTCATAGTCACGATATTCATCGATTTCAATCTGCGCGCAAGACTCGTAGAATGATGCTAATGCGTCCACGTCCCCGGCTTTACTATACAGCTGATAGTATCGATCGAATGCAACCTCGTTAGAAAACATTAGATTTCATGGTCAAGGCACCGCCAATCAAAGGGCTTGAATTATGAAGAGCACAAAATAAACATGGTATGAATCCTCTCGAGAGTAAGGAGAGATGTATAAAACTTCACAAGAGCCTTAAAGTTACAGGCAAGCGGACATGAGAACATGAAGCCCTTTGAGACCTGAATAATTGTCCTCATGATACTTCCATCATGATGCCAGTCAAGATTTTGCAAGTAATTTGCTGCGAGTATATAGATCTGTTTGTGTCTGTACATGTCCACGTAACATCAGTTCTCTTGTCAAGCAAACCTCAAGGTATATCAGTTGCGGATGGATCTGTCAATGGGATGAGCATGGAGCAGGACAAGACCATCCTTAGATGAGTTAGTCCACATGTAGTCTGCTGATTACATCAAAGAACTGAGTGTTATCAAAGACGCTAACAGTCAGCACAAAACTTGTAGACCGACAAGAATCATGTTCAAAGACGAATACAGATTTCGTGAGATCTCACCTAGAAACGTTGGCAAAGAATATGATTCTCTCGGTGTCTCCTGATTTCAATAAGGCCTGAGAAGACGTACAAAGGCACATTGGTCAAAACTTTCAGGAACATCGTCGCCACCACCACAACTAGCATCAGGTAAAGCAAATGATATGAAAACATGAAAGAATGTAAAGGGCTGCCACCAACTGTTGATGTCTAAAGAGTTGCTCATTTGCATGAGATTCTCACGTGTTCACTTTTTATTCCGTTTCCACGAAACTGCAACTTGCCTCTGATTTCATTCTTGCTTCCTTTCAAAGTTGAAAATTGAGTTCAAACCTTTTTAGTTTCTAAGAGAGAATCTGTGAAAGGAAATCCCATTCTGATGAGGGTTTGTTCTAGTGTTTCATGAATTAAAACAGAGAAATTAATGGGGGCAAGGTAGAGCTTCAGCTCAGACAGGCAGGGTCTTCAGCCTATGCAAACACCTTCGATGTGCTGCTGATGGTCTGGCGATTCTTCAAGGCTGTGAACTTCGGAAACTAGCCAGAACTGAGAAAAAGGTGACGCATGGGATAGACCTTATAACTTGCACATTTACAGCAAATATTACAGTGTGGGGGATTTAAAACACACCTGTTACCATTCGAATAAGAGTTTCACACATTTGGAAAGTACATTTTTGTTTGGTCATGTGAAAGGTACCTTCTGAAGTTTTGAGATTTCTTTCCATTTCACAAATGTCATCCTCAATTTTCGGGTACGGGAAGTAACGAGATTGCTTTTAACTGGTTTCACTCATGAACTTTATATGTACACACATGAGTAAACTGTCAAGTTATCCGGGTACGGGATGTGAATTTTGGAAGAAGATTCCATTCTCACAGATAATTTAATGCACCTGTTAGAAATCCTTAATAGAACGCTTTGGACTTATGCAGCCAAACAATCGACTCACCTTCATGGCTGCTAGTCTATCGCCTGCTTGTGTGTATTTTTTGCAAGCGAGGTGATAGGATCCTTGAGCGTTGAAGACTTCAGCTATCTTGTGGAGCAAAAGGATAGACTCCTCAGACTTTGGGTCTTCCAGATTCATAGCCTCCGCCATCTTGTCGGTCAGAATGACTCCCTCAGTCATACACTGGTGTTTCAATCATAAAGTCGTCGAGTTAGGATTTGGGTGTACATCAATTAATAAAGCTCTGATGTAATTCTCGTCATCTTCACAGTCAACTGCTTTCTTTTCACAAGAGAAGCGATTTCGTAGGGCATAGACAAGTTGTACTTTGAAGAGTTGGAAGTTGAATCTTTCAGTGATCAAATCATATAAGAGGTCATCACAATTCATCCTATATGAATAACTTGATATTTCCTTCTTGATGGTCCGCTGCTTACCAAGTCAAGAGCAACCATATACTGTTTAGCAGCGATAAAAAGTTGCACTGCTTTATCAATCTGCTTGTTCGCCAAAAGGAAGTCTCCACATCTGACCGTAGTTGACACGAATAGTGCAGAGTTGTGAGCTGATTGTCAAGAGTACAAGTAGCTTCAACAAACAGCCATCGTTGCGCTTGGCAACAGATTTAGTCATGGATACCATATGAAGGATACATTCATTGTTGACAACAAAGTTACCTTTTTGGAGGTAGAAATGTTATATTAGAAAGATATTGTAGCATGGACCAATATGGTTATGAGAGCATCTAACAAATATTTATGGGACACTCCACAAGAATGTGTTCTCAACCCTTAAACGATTGTACCTAGTTTCCTTGACCTAATTTTTTGATGGCCACAATATGACATTCAGAACCTTGCAGCATCCTATGAAACCTTTAAAAAACTCGTCTTCATTTTTCTCTTGCCAAGACCATGTTGAAGACAAGGAGACAGATTTCTCTCAAAAATGGTAAGAAGAAGACTTTCACATACAGAAGGCTGGACTCCAATACGAGCTAATTTAGTGAAGATATGATACAGTTTTTCCACAAAACACATAAATTTTTCGCTTTGATAAACGTATCTCTATCTTGATTTTTGGGATAGTATGAAACAATTTTTTAAGGTAAATAAGAAGTGAAAGAAAAAATTTGTAAATAAAGTAATCATTTACACATTTTTATATCCTCATAAAAAAATAGAAAAAGATCTGTTATCTGCTATTGTACTATATTTACACATGATTATCCAAGTTGTGATTTATTATCCATACATAGCCTAATACTTCTCTGGATTTGTAAGAAGCTTGAACATACATATGTCTCAAACACTGGTGAACATATAGAATAGATTCTTTCCACAATTCCGTATTAATTCTTTTGGCCACATCTTCTTCCTTCGTTGGATGTTGCTATGCAAATGCGAGCGAGTTAAAGAACAATAAGCAAGATATAACTGTATATCAGTATCTCAAAAACGAAATAGTTTGATGAATCTTAACAGAATTCATAGGCTAAGATTTAAGTACGGATGATGATATCTACCGAACTTCAAATCACATCGGAGCTTATATATATATATATATGTATATATTCCACTATGTAAATTTCAAGAGCTATTGTATACATTATAACTTCATTCATATATATATTTATTTAATTATGAAGTTATAATGTACATAATAACTCTTGAAAACCAAAATACACTTCTTCAAAATATGAGATAATTGTGTTAAATACATGAAAGTTATTAATATAGAAAGAATGATGATGGTCACACTTACTTAGCAAGAAGAGCTGGATCTTCATTTTTATCTAGATCCTCAGCAATAGCTTTGAGAGCATCGTAGAGTCTTGTCCGAAAGCAAACATTGATGGCTTTCTCCAAATCACCTCCCTTCCAAAAAATAAAACTGTTTGATGTAATTTTATTCATTGTCAAGTCAATTTATCTGATTGACTGAATGGTGACTTGTGTTAACGATTATTATTGATAAAATCAAGAGTCTCTGAATTGAGCTTTTTTTTTGGGGCTTTTAATATTTGGACTCAACCTTAATATGAACATTGAACTGAAGGTGAATTTAATTTACACAGTTGAAGACTAGACTCCCTAAGGACAAAACAATGAGGTAAATGGTATAAAAATTTGATGGTCAAGAGACAAACTTAAAGAGATGATTAGGATACAAAGTAAGTCAGACAACCAAGGAAAGTGGAAAGAGTTAGACGTATGACACGATTCATACAGGAATTTTTCCACATCCCTTGCATGCAAACAGTGAGTATTGATAGTGAATGTATGGTCTAAAATGAAAATTGTTAAAGACGAAGATGTATGTTTTTACTGAAATGTCTTCCAATAATTCATAAGGTAATGCCATCTCCTATGGAAATACTAAGTGCTAACAATATATGATTAACAGATTAAAATTTAATGAAATTGAACCATCCACAAATTAATTTAACATGTTTGACACTTGAGTATAAGAATCCTTCACGATCAATGTGCTTGATCAACTCTCCCCTCCCAATATTTAGTCCTTAGATTATAGAAACATTGTGAGTATTCAAGCAAAGATACTAAATTCATAAGCTCCTTAAAAAATTTGAACCTCAAGAAATAAAAATTATCACTCCATTCTTGATTGGCGTTAGCTAGATATGCATATGACAGATCATATCTCCTGCCGAATAACAATAATTGAAAATAATTTTGCGAGTGGTTGTCTTAAGCATCCAACTAAAGACTTTAAGCCTCTAATAGGAAACGCACATGTAATGTTGTGACTAAAGATAACATAACATGCAAGGAAACATATGAGAGTAGTCAGACAAAAGTTGTATAGGATTACCTTGTGATATAACAGAACAGCTTCTTCGTACTTCTTCTGGTCTTCATAATATTTTGCAGCTTTCGTCATCATCTCCTTCGTGCTCTACAGCCAATATCCCAAATATTTGTAAATTTCATCCAAATTATACATTGGAATGATAACTATAAATTGCGTCAGCCATGTAAAGAAGTTCACGCTCTTACCTGGAGTGAAAGAGCTAGTAGCTCATTGTCAATGTTATGCTTCATGGCAAGGCGAGCAGCGTATGTAAACTTTCCTGCTTTCGAGAAGAACTTTATGGCTTGACGGATATGTCCTGATTTTTCATACTTCACAGAAAATGTTTTGTGACTTAATGAGGGGCGGCCTAGAAAATTCTCTAATCAAAATCTTCATCACTTTTCTTTCGACAAATTGAGAGAGGAAAGACAAAACAAAACGGATCAAGATTTCCATGTAGAGTGAAGTTATTAATGTACCGGATTCACAAGTCATATCATGCTCGAAGCATTTTCAATCATCTTCTGCTTGAGGAAAATATCAAAAGTACTAACGAGAGTGTTGAAGTGTCATATGACGTACCTGACGAGCTAATGAAAAGGCAGCGGCGGCATCTGAACTTTCCAAAACAAGAGCAGCTGCAGTGGAGAAGTCGCTTTTGAAGCAATAAACACGCACTAGAGAGGGGACGTCCCCTGCCTGTTGAAACACCTAACGAAGATCTAGTTATCTTGGCTACACTACATACCAGCTGTTAGAATGCTGATTACTCCCTACTTCTTCGGGACCTGTATGCTGTGTCCTAGTTGTTAGGACTGAGGTTACTAATAGTTAGGATGTATACTAACTGGGGATACGACCCTTCTGGGAGCGTCCCGTGACAGGAGCATGACCTTTCGTAGAGCTTCGATCCGTGTGCTCTCTAGTGACCTTCGATCCTATCCGGATTGGGTACTTAAACCCAATCCGGGTCGCATGTTATCATCCATCAATTATAACTTCAATCCTTCTTCAACTCATTAATCTCTTGTAACTTCAATCCTTCCTCAACTCATTGATCTCTTACTCTCTATTGCATCGTCTAAATCTAACATGGTATCAGAGCATGATCCACTCAGATTCAAGGACGCTTGAATCCAGAAAGCAAGAAGTACGCTTCACGCTGTGACCCCTCTAAGACACTTGCGAAAACAATACCAAGAGATCGCTGATCCCCGCCAGGCTCCGAAATTCGACTTCGAATTTGATCAGATTCGACTGTCAGAACCTGTGAAATGCCTTGACAGTGCTGATCTGAAGCACTGTCAAGAAATCTCAAAAAATCTTTAAAATTTCGAGCGAAATTTTAAGGTTTCCTGCAATGCAATTCCTTGAAATTTCGTGAAATTTCTAGGAAATTTTCGTTTCGCGAAATTTTTTGCAAGTGGGGTCAGTATCCTGCATCTCACTGTACACACGCACACGTTACGAGGAAGATGACATCATTAGGACGTCTCAAATTCTCATTACGTGATCTTTCCAAATTCGATGGGAGGCATGAAAGACCAGATCGGCTGGCTCTTTCGCATGGAAGGCCTGATGGAACTAATTGAAGGGACCGAGCCCCGGCCTACTACTCCCCCCGGTTCTGCGACCGGAACACCTGAATCCGGCGTAGGGAGCAAAACGGCTTGGGATGAAAGGAATTTCCTTTGCTTGGCAATGTTGAACAATGACATTGAAAGGGAGATACAACCTTTGATAGCATGCTATCGGTTAGTTGTTGACGTTTGGCGCGAGCTCGTCAGAATTTACGAATCCAAATCGAATCCACACCAATTGCACCTGAGAAGAGCCCTGCATGCCCTGAAAATGGAGCCAGGCGAGACAGTGTCGAACATCATCATAAGGTTTCAACTACTACTAGATCAGTTGGCTGCCATCGGACAGTCAATTCCAGAAGGAGAAGCCGTGATCTGCCTCCTGGAAAGTCTTCCGGATGAATACGACACCTCAAGGAAATTAGAACACTTCATTTTACGAGTATCGGTTCGCGACTTTTGTCGCCAAGGTAAATGAACTCCTCCGATGGGAGTTCCTTGTAGTCCACAAATGCACTTCGGCTATACGCCATATGCTGTGTAGCACCCGAATCCACATACCATGTGGGATCCGCGCCGGTTGACGATAGTACGGTGACAAACAGCCGGTGCTCAGCTTTCGCAGTCAAGTGTGAAGAAGTGTGAAGTCGACTGAGTGTCAGTCACGTGTCAGTTTTCCGGATGACACCTTCGCTGGCGCCATGAGAGTGACTGACACGCTGTCCACACAGACCGTGATCACCAATCTTCTTCTTGAAGAAGAGCATCTCAAGAAGTCAGCGGTAACTAACAGCACGACTGCACTGTATACCGCGAGAAAGAAAGGGTTAAATCCTCCTAAGCAGCAGTCAAGAAGATCAGATGATGCCGGCACTTCCTTATCAGCACCACTAGAATACACAGCCAAGCCATCCTTTCCCCGCCAGAAGATGAAGTGCTTCTATTGCAAGACGCGCGGGCATCTTGCCAATGAGTGTTGCAAGAAGAAAGAAAGCTCTTCTTCACACTCGACTGCGAAAGCTGAGCACCGGCTGTTTGTCACCGTACTCTCGTCAATCAGCGCGGATCCCACATGGTATGTGGATTCGGGTGCTACACAGCATATGGCGTATAGCCGAAGTGCATTTGTGGACTACAAGGAACTCCCATCGGAGGAGTTCATTTACCTTGGCGACAAAAGTCGCCAACCGATACTCGTAAAATGAAGTGTTCTAATTTCCTTGAGGTGTCGTATTCATCCGGAAGACTTTCCAGGAGGCAGATCACGGCTTCTCCTTCTGGAATTGACTGTCCGATGGCAGCCAGCTGATCTAGTAGTAGTTGAAACCTTATGATGATGTTCGACACTGTCTCGCCTGGCTCCATTTTCAGGGCATGCAGGGCTCTTCTCAAGTGCAATTGGTGTAGATTCGATTTGGATTCGTAAATTCTGGCGAGCTCGCGCCAAACGTCAACAACTAACCGATAGCGTGCTATCAAAGGTTGTATCTCCCTTTCGATGTCATTGTTCAACATTGCCAAGCAAAGGAAATTCCTTTCATCCCAAGCCGTTTTGCTCCCTGCGCCGGATTCAGGTGTTCCGGTCGCAAAACCGGGGGAGTAGTAGGCCGGGGCTCGGTCCCTTCAATTAGTTCCATCAGGCCTTCCATGCGAAAGAGCCAGCCGATCTGGTCTTTCGCATCGAATTTGGAAGATCCCGTAATGAGAATTCAAGAAGATCAGATGATGCAGGCACTTCCTCATCAACACGACTAGAATACATAGACAAGCCATCCTTTCCCCGCCAGAAGATGAAGTGATTTTATTGCAAGAAGCGCGGGCATCTTGCAAGAAGCAAGATGTAAGAAGCAAGAAGTGTTGCAAGAAGAAGCAAGAAAGCTCTTCTTCACACTCGACTGCGAACGCTGAGCACTGGTTGTTTGTCACCTTACTCTCGTCAACCGGCGCGGATCCCACATGGTATGTGGATTCGGGTGCTACACAGCATATGGCGTATAGCCGAAGTGCACTTGTGGACTACAAGGAACTCCCATCGGAGGAGTTCATTTACCTTGGCGACGAAAGTCGCAAACCGATACTCGGAAAAGGAAGTGTTCTAATTTCCTTGAACGATGGAACAGACAAGCTACTGCCTGACGTGATCCACTTTCCAGCTCTATGCAAGAATTTGTTCTCTGTAACTCAGCACCTTCTGCAAGGAGGGGCAGTAGTGCTCAAACCTGATCACTGCATTGTACAAGACAAGATGGGCGAAACAATAGTTCGCCCTATAGAAAATCAACTAATTCGGCTGGGTACTACTTCTATGACACCCCGAGCAGCCTCTGCCAATTCAGTAGTCAACAATGAAGAACTGACTACATTCCAGTGGCACCTTAAACTCGAGCATATGAGTCTGCCCAGAATGCAAGAACTGAAGCACAAAAACATGGGGCGAGGATTCGACAACTGTTCCTTGAAAACTCTCCCTTTCTGCACTTCCTGTGCCATAGGGAAGTCCACCAGAGTAAAACTCCAAACAAAGGAGCCACGCGTGCAACAGACCTACTCGGTTTAGTTCACTCAGATATTTGTGGACCTTTGAGAACTAGAACTTTCTCTGGCTGTACATATTTCATAACATTTATCAATGATCTTTCCCGCTATACCCATGTGTATCTCATACAAAAGAAGTCTGAAGCATTTGCTAAATTTCAGGAATACAAGTTAATGACTGAGAACTTCCTGAGCAAGCGAATTAAGATTCTGAGATCAGATAATGGTCTGGAATATAAATCTCGAGCTTTTAATGACTTCTGTCTGCTTCACGGCATTCACCGACAGTTCACGATACCTGATACCCCCGAACAGAATGGAGTAGCTGAAAGAAAGAATCGAACCTTGATCGATTCGGTCATAGCTATGCTAACTCATTCTGGTCTGACGCATGGCTATTGGGGTGAAGCAATGCATACAGCAGTTTACTTGCAAAACAGATCTCCATCGAAGGCTCTGCCCACAGCCTAAACCCCTTACGAACTTTGGCATGGACAGAAGCCCGATCTGAGTCACCTGCAAGTCTTTGGATGTACTGCATTTGCCCATGTTGAGAAGAATCATCGGGGTAAGATTGACCCTAAGAGCGTAGAATATATTTTCCATGGTTACTCTCCTACAGCTAAAGGATATAGGCTGCAGCGAAAAGACTCTCGTAAAATTATCGAGAGCAGATCTGTAAGGTTTATGCCTCTTGCCGCTCGGGAATCCAACTTCCCTCAGCAGCAAACATCAGCTGTTCCGCCTAATAACCAAGACGGTTTTCTCTTCAGCCATTTACCTACAAGCTCATTTACTGTTCCAGATTGCAGAGTTCCTATTCCACCAGCAGTGGACCTGCCACCAGCAGTGGGAGTGCCACCAGCAGAAAGGCCACCCGCAGTGGGAGCCTTCCGTCCAGAAACACCATCACCTGGAGTGGGAGCTCCACCAGCTCCTTCACCTCCTACTGTGAATCATCCTACTACAGCTGAAGTTCCCGCGACTTATCCGGCCCATTTTGGTAAGACCTATCAGAGGCGCGCCTGGAAGTCTCGGGAGAAACTTGATGATACGGTGAGCAACCTCGAGCAACTACTGGGCAAACTCAGACTTCAAGAAACTACATCTGAGGCCCTGGTTGCTCCACCCTCTGATACTGCAGCAAAGGGGGCAGCTTCATCCTCTTCCCAGACAATCGATCCTATCTTTCGAAGGGGGGACAGAGTTAGGAAAAGAGTCAAAAAATATGACCAATTGTTGGAAAGGAGGAAGAAGAAGCACAAAGGTTTAGTCTCATATCAAGAGACTCGGAAAGAGCCGACCACCTATCAAGAAGCCTTAATGACAAGTGGAGACAAGTGGAGATTCTGTCCAGCGGAAAGCAGCAATGGAAAACAAATTTTCTTCCTTGAAGAAAAATCAGACATGGACACTGACAGAATTACCTGCGGGCAAGAACGTCGTCGGTTGCAAATGGGTTTTCAAAATCAAATACAAGCCAGACGGTTCTGTGGATCGCTATAAGGCAAGGTTAGTAGCGAAAGGATACTCACAGGTTTACGGTGTCGACTTTTCTGAGACATTTTCTCCTGTGGTAAAGATGACATCCATTCGGGTGTTATTAGCTCTAGCAGCTCAGCACAACTTAGAGCTGCACCAGATGGATGTGAAGACTGCATTCTTGAATGGACTATTAGATGAAGAAGTCTACATTGCCCTTCCTGAAGGGTTGAATATTTCTTCTGAGAGAAACATAGTATGTAAACTGAACAAGTCCATTTATGGACTGAAGCAATCCTTACGACAGTGGTATCAGAGGATTGATTCGTTCTTACTGCAGATTGCTTTCACCAGAGCAAATGCAGATCAAAATGTTTATATATACTCTCAGGAGAAAGCATTTGTGTATTTAGCACTATATGTGGACGATTGTATTTTGGCAAGTAATTCCTTGGATCTTCTTACCAAGATCAAGAAGAAACTCAAAACGGAGTTCGATATGGTGGACTTAGAACAGATCCATCAGTGTCTTGGTATGCAAGTTGACAGAAATCGTGAAGAAGGGTGGATTCGGATCTCCCAACCACGATATTTGGTTGAGAAGCTTGCAAAGTTCAACATGGCTGACTGTAAGCCTATTGACACACCAATGGAACCCGGATTGAAGTTAAGTGTGCTTGACTCTCCTAATTCAGTGGGAGAAAGTCAAGAGATGAAAGATATACCGTATCAAGCTGCTGTTGGAAGCTTGATGTGCGCAATGGTCTGTACTAGACCTGACATATCTTTTCCTGTGAGCTCAGTAGCTCAGTTCATGTCAAATCCCGGACTAATGCACTGGAAGGCAGTCAAGAGAATTTTCAGATACCTGAAAGGGACTCTCGACTTTGGCCTTGTGTTTACAAGGGTTGATAAACCATCCGGTTTAACTGGATATTCTGACGCGGACTGGGGAGGTTGCCTTGACACGAGACGATCTACTTCTGGATATTGTTTCCAATTTAATGGTGGAACCATTAGTTGGACATCAAAGTCGGTAGCACTTTCATCCACGGAAGCAGAATATATGGCTTTGTCCAAAGCTGAAGCTATATGGTTGAGAGAATTATTGAAAGATCTAGGTCTCCAGCTGGAATCGACAAGCATATTCTGCGACAATCAAAGTGCTATTGCACAGATTGTGAACCAGAAGAATCACGAGAGATCTAAACACGTCAATATCAGATATCACTACGTCAGGGACCTAGCCGCGAATAGCTTGGTCAAGCTGATTTATATCCCAACCGAGGACATGATGGCTGACATCATGACAAAACCATTAGCTAGAGAAAGGCATTTGTGTCATTTTCAGAATCTAGGTTTATTAGATAAAAATGAGGAAGAGAGAAGTAAGTAGGTAGCAAGTGGGAGTGTTAGAATGCTGATTACTCCCTACTTATTCGGGACCTGTATATTATGTCCTAGTTGTTAGGACTGAGGTTACTAATAGTTAGGATGGATACTAACTGGGGATGCGACCCTTCTGGGAGCGTCCCGTGACAGGGGCATGACCCTTCGTAGAGCTTCGATCCGTGTGCTCTCTAGTGACCTTTGATCCTATCCGGATTGGATACTTAAACCCAATCCGGGTCGCATGCTATCATCCATCAATTATAACTTCAATCCTTCCTCAACTCACTGATCTCTTACTCTCTATTGCATCGTCTAAATCTAACACCAGCAATTCGTCGACAGGTGTAAACCGAATGCAGATTCAACATCGGCCGAAGAAAAGACGTTGAAACATTTATCTCGTATCATCCAGCAGGAGAAGGAGAGGTCACTTACAAGAGTATAGTAGTCGATAGCCTGAGAAAGCAAGTTATTAGCTTCACAAAAGTGAGCCCACCATCGCTGCAGAGGTGGATCACCGCTCTTGTCTATATAGTCTTGCAATTCTTTCATTTGCTGAATCGAGTACAACATACGCGGAACTTCATGCCTGGAGTACAACCGGGATTTAAGCGCTCACAAAAACGACATCTTTTGAATACCCTGACATCATCTACAACCAGCCAGGGAAGGTCTACTTTGACTATATGTCTTTCTCAGGGTACCTATCGTTGACAAATTTGAAAGTATCTTCGGTACTGAAAGCATAGCATATGTTGTAGAGTGAACGATGACTTTATGTGAAGCATGCAAGTTGACAACATAAGACAATAGTCTTTTCTTTGTTATCTTGTCAGATAACCTCCCAGTCAGGAGAATGACTAATTATCTTCTTGCTTCCAAGAAATGACACTGGTAGCTCATTGAAGTACTTACCTACCTGTGGCTTCCAGATACTTCGTAGTGGTGTATTGCATCTTTGATACTTCCTATAGACTCCAGATGCTTGGCATATGCATGTAGTGTGCCTTTCAAGTGCACGCGATCGTGTTTTGAGGTCACCTCGATTGCTTTATCCCACTCGCCACAAGTCTGCCAAAGGGGTTTCGAGCAATTCACTCAAACTACTATGCACTGGCTGAGGGTCTTTATATCTGTAAAACTTGCAACAAACATGCATGCGAAAAATGATAACTGAAAAATGCTAGACATTGCAAGTGCAAACGAAGCCCCGTTTTCAAAAGTGTCGATTGATTTTCTTTCTGTAAAGAGGAATTCTTTACAACAAGACTAGTCCGGAAACCATCACTGTCCCTAATAATGGCTGAAGTAGCTTGATTGTGTAGAAACTGCTCACGATTTGCAGAGTTGTACCTCATAGAGCTTCTTCAGTAGATCAAAACGCTTGCATGATATATACAGCTGTCGTGCTGCGTCTAGAAGTCCTAGCTGAATGGCTACAGCTGCAACCCTGGCATCCTCCTCCTAAGGTAACACTTGCGTCAAATGGACTTCGTGCTAGTATAAAGAAATACTATGTTGACCCCTCGTTTAACTTATGTATGAAAAGTGATCTATTTGATCGTCTAGTAATTTTTAGAGTAAAGCTGACTTCTTCGACGTACATGAAAGGGACAAGAAAATCTAGAGATATCACTTGGATAATAAACCAAAGATAACAAACCATGGTAAGAATATATATAACTATATATATAGATATATATTTGGCACATTGACAGGAACCAATGGACCGGGGAAATCGTTACCGGTTCAAGCAAAGAAGCACGAACAAATCCTGCCGCTGAGGCATAACCCATGGTAGCAAAGCAGTGTATCGCAACATCAACTCGTTTAGTTTTTACACATATGCACGCCAAGCTATGCCAAATTTTCTTATCCTTGATGGCTTGAATTGCTTCGTATGCACCATTCAGATTCCCCAGTATCAAGTTGTAATTGAACTCAACTAGTGCAGCTCTCTCTTTGATATCGACGTCTTCCTGTAGAAGGATGAAGGGCCAAGGGTGAATTCCCATCATTCAGCGTGTTTGACTCAATGATTATTGATTGTTTCGCATTACTTCAACATTTGCTTTTTTTTTCACTTGCTTGGAAGATATTATTTAATATAAAAGTATTATCTCAACACTCGTAAGGAACACCGGAATGGAAACTAAAATACAAGACGAGGATAAAATACCAGGCCAACAAAGTCTCTCATTGGTATCTTATCGATGGAAGGTGTGTCTTTCTTAGCAGACTTGTTGGTGAGGATATGATAATAAGGTATGTCCATCCCCAAAAGCCTAGACTTGAATCCAATATCGACCTGTCTTTTATAATCAGTGTACACACACTAGAAGGTCAGATTTCGTTAAATTGGGAAAATTGGAAGTGTGGTTCAAACAGAAAAAAGTTGTGAACTTCAACTGGAAGCCAAGTGAAATCAGCTGAGGTATCTGGTTCATCAAGCAAAACTCGACATCAAAATTAGTCAGAACCTTGCCTGCTCCAGCTCCAAGAGTCCATCTTCAGAAGTTGCGAATAGTACTGTGAGCTGTAAATCTCCAGAGTTCTTCCCTGATATCGATGTAGCCTCTAAGTGCTCCTACAAGCTCAAAACGGAAATAAGAGCAGATTGGATTGAAAACACAGAGGCAGGGTTCGTTCTTTACAAGATACAGTGGTGAGTATTGCACAATATCGAAAATCATATTTTCGGAACTACCACGTCATACGATAATTCAATTCTGAAACTCATCTTACAAGCACATATACAGCCAGAGATGGGTACCTGAGCTGTCTCACAGACGATAAGCCGAGACTCTCCACCATCCCAACAATGTGATGTTGGAACCCTCTGCAAATGCCTGTTGAAGGAGAAATGTCTTAGTTTCAAGCGCGGTCTGGCTTTCTGGGAAATAATTTCAGGTATGAAAGCCTTGTCACCAGGTATGTGTTACACGCAACGATTCCAACTTCTGGTTACTACTTTCAGAAGAAACACCTTGTCTAAGAGAACTAGTTGTTTATAGTACTATACGTCGCAGTGATAAGGAGTGGACTCGGATAAAGTGTTTGGTACTAAGCTGAGTATTATGAGCAAGAACAAAAACTCTAGGAGGGCATTTGACATGACCATGACAAAACCTTAGATATGCACCTGAAGTCGAGTGAGAAGAATCTATCAGCGATGGTATCGAAAACAACCAAAAGACAGTTTTCTTGAGAATCAGGCCCACATTTGACAAGCAAGCTGATTCGACTGCAATCGCTATTACATCTCACAGAAGTTATGACGAGCTTGTCATCCTCACCGACTTTCATCTGGGGCAAAGTCCACTCGCTGGTCAACAGAAGATCACAATGTTCACGGACTTTCAATAACTCTAATACGTTATATCTTACACGATAAACTGCACTTGCATCTAGGAATGAACGGCCAGCTTAATTTACCCCATGAAGGTCTTAAAAATCAGAGCATTTGTTCCTCCTTAGAGTTCAGGAAATTAATGTCTTACTTTGCGGCCTGAGATGGGTCCATGAGGCTTAACTTCTGTGCCATCCACCTTCCATGTGCGTATAATGTTGCTAGTTGTCGCCTGCATTCAAATCTGTATTTTACTTAGTCAAAAAAAGTAGGACAAACATATCATGTTTCCTATCTTCCTACCACATTTGAGTCCCAGAAAAAGCCGGAACGACATACGCCGAAAGTTTTTGTTGAAAATTCAAAGATTCAAGAGTTGCATTCAGAGAGTGCAGGAGGAGAAAGGGTCACCAGGACAAGAAAGTCTCGACAAACATCCAAACAGAGTGCCTGGCCTTGCGTCTCATCCAGAGGCAAAGTTTGCTTCAACAAACCCTACAATCAACGGAAGTGGTCTTCGATCAGACCCATCGTATGTATGGAAACTGTAGTATAACTATGAAAACTGCCAAGAGAAACACCAGAATTATAGATAAATGTAACGCCTCGTGTCTCCGGTCTCGCTTACCACACTTTCCAGATTCATGGGTTCCTCTTGCTACACTCGCTGGATCAAGCAAGTGCTCTAAGTTACCTCTAAGCTCAACACTCCAACTGATGAGCCTCCCGTCTGGAAAATCGAATTATGGTTGACTGCAAGTGAAGCGTTCTCCTGTATTTTGAAGTGGCATGCCTGCTGGATTCCTGTGTTCAATATTTGAAATTATTTCGTGCACATTTATGCTAATTTCAATGATAATCGCGAAAGGATACTCTTGATTGTTACATGTTTTCCTTATCGGCGATCATGTTGCTTCCAACAGGTCTGAAATGAACTCATTATGAACTCCAGTGATGATGCCCTCTGCTGACCAAGATGTGATCTGGTACCTGGAGGATTCAGCTCAAAAACACTTGCTTCTTCGATGCTCCACAGTAGCACACGAGTTTCCCAGACATCAACTCCTGTAATGTGTGATGACATGCTGACCACTTGAGGTGCCTATAAGAGCCAAACATGGAGAATGCGAATCATAAGGTGGGTTTGGGTCTGGCGAAGGAGGAACTGTTGCAGCGGAGCTACAGCTATTTTTTCTCTTCCAAGCAGATTCAATGTGAAGGACGACTCTTCTCTTTCGGTTTGCGTTTTCACGAAAGCTGTTCATTCTCCTCGGATCGCGTTGTGCGTGCATATTTTTGGAGGAATTAAAAAAAACTGAACACCTGCCCCCAGAAGAAACTCAAATTTTAGTAGTTCTTGAGAGTTGGATATGTGCGGGTTGCAAGTATGGTGTAGATGCTGACGTTGAAACTTGGCGCAGAAACAACTGCCTGGCTCGAAGATAACTGAAAAACGGCAGTATTCCCACGGCTTCTACGTTGCAGATACATCGTAACAAGCAGTTTGACACTTCTCTTCCAAGTCCGGCAATCGTTCTTCTTTCGGTAATAACAGGACCTGGCTAAGAGTAGGCCGAAGTACACTTTTGAGTAGTCTCTGAGTACAATCGGATTCTTCTCCACTCTTCGGACTTCAAAGTTGGCAAACCACTTCACGGCTGACTCTATCCTCACTTCGAAAGGCTTCCAATGTGACTTGGCCCTCTCATTTGCGTTCTTGGCGATTCACAGATGACAAGATTTAGTAGATGTAGGAGACTGAGGACGGCATGACGTATAATTGTGAAACTCGGTCGAAGGCTATGCACTCAGCACTTCAAAAACTCTTTGGACCACAGAACATCCACCTCTCATACACACGAAGGAGATTTGTCGTCCCATCAATCACAGCTGCGCCCTGTGCGAGCATTTTGATACGACTAAATCAACCAGCACAATTGTCGGAACTCGGCCTCGACAAAACAAAGGGAGTCGACCAGAGAGACGATCGAGCGTCTCACAAATTCCCTGAACGCGATTCGTTGCGACTGCAGGGCTCGCAGTAGAGTTCCGACAGATGGACCATCTCCAGGACGTGCACGAGGTTTCTTGGACGGGAAGGGGCAGACGGAATGGTTGAGAGTTCTTGGATAGAGCGCTCTTCTTGGTTCTTGGTGAGAAGACTCTCGAATGATCCAGATCGGCGATTTCCCACGTGCATTACCAGACCTATGGGACTTCGAATTGAATCCCTTTAATATCAAGTTTGGAAACCCCTACGACCTCAAATTGGTACAACCGTTTACAAAACCCTTCCTCACCTGTATTGAATCCGAGCCTTTTATTTGGAATATAATATGAACTAATTCCAATTATACAACTCAATAAGATTTGGCAAGCATTTCTACGATAATTCATTTAAAAACTTGTTTTCTTAGTTAAAGTATGGGAGTATATTATCCATGTTCACATCATAAAATGAATTACATTGAGCTGACTTTTTCTTGCATGAATAATGAAAAAAAAAAGGATTGCGAAGATGGTACATGACATGGAAAGTACATTCGAATTCTTGTTGCTAGCATAATCCTAAAAATAGTAAACAAGAATTTGACATGATGTCAATCCATTTAAACAGTTGGAAACAAAATGAACTTGATGTAATAACTATTTTTTGCTGCATGAAGTACACAGAAAATACGATTTCTGGTTGCATTTGACTGTGCGTTGAAATGCATGCTTTTTTCGCAAGGAGATAAAACTAAGATTCCATAAAATAGACCGAATTTTTTTGATATCTAATTTAGCTTGGATCCTATCAGATCCATGAAGTAGACAACTTTACAATACACATTTCATTAAACAAAGAAAGGGGGAAAAAACAACAATGTGCAAATATAAATTTTTTTCTACTGACTTTTTCAAATCAAATTCTAAAGTTTATATGAAAAATAAACTCTTGCAAACTATTTCACTCCTGTAATTCATCTCTATGAATAGTCCATCAATAACTATAGTCTAACACTCGAAGTGAGACCCCTCATTCTTTACGCTATTATTTAGTGTAAAATTTAAGATCTAATATTCTGGATCAATATTTTAGATTGTAAAAGAGGTCAATCTATGAGTAAACATGCATACTAATTTGAAATTTTATGTAACCTGGAAAATCTCAAAAGGAAAGCACGTAAAACAAAGATCAAACTAAAAAAATGCAAGAAGCGAGGTATCCTGGTGAGATTGAAAACTTATGATCGATCTAAAGAATGGGGGTTAAAACAACATCTACTGTGATACTCATGCTGATTTTGAGCAAATCAATATGCTACTTGAAAACTTATTTTTTTTCAAAAGAATATCAATGTGATGATCCTTGCATTTTTCATTTTGACTGTATCGTTTGACTTAAAAAAATAATGAGGCCAGAAGTGATTACCACTAGACTTCTAACCTCATCATAGAAAATTTGTGGCACTGCTGCTGAAAATCAACGTAACCATGATCCCAAAGTCTACATTGTAAAACATAGGTCCTTCACTTTTCTCAGTAACATAAAATCTCGTCTAAATAGATTTCTTAAAGAAATGTATAGAAGAATTATAAGGAGGTTGGGACCATGCTCTTGTTCATTTCCAGTAGAGATTGTGCAAAATCTTTTCTGTGGTGAGGCAAGAAGTGATGACAAGAACAGTATAGAGTGGGGCAATGCAACTGGTATAATATCATTTTGTGCTAACATCTATTGAAGAACTCTTGATAGAAACTGAACCTAAGGGAAAACAGAGTTATATGATTATTAAACCTTCATATCTTCCTTGGCTCAATGATTTGTAAGTGAAAATGAAGCAAAACCAAACATACATTCTTGGTTCTTAGCCTCTAATACATCTCGGTACCATTATCATAGTAGTACTTCTAGACTCCAGACATCAATGAGATGCGGGAATCCCATTCATAATAGATACCAGTGGGATTCTCGACTCATCATTGCACCAATGCAACGAGATCATCGGGAAGCATTGATTGATCAGCTGTAGATCAAGGAGACATTTATTGAAATAATCAGACGTCTTGATTTGCGCTAAGAGGGATTATAGCAGGAGACTTTGGAAGCATACATTCATTCCGAATTTGCATGGCCTGGAGAATTAATAAAGGTCAAAAGACCATCTCTTTGTAGAAATATACATAGACCGATACATTGACAGAGCTAATCCGGATGCAATGATGAGACGGACAGACATGTCCTTCCTTCATCACCGGCCTCGAATGTCGAGAGACAGAAAGTCAGTGAGGTGTGTATATAAAGTTAGGCGTGGTATTCGCGAATAAAGAATGAATCTAGCGGTTGTGATTCTGATAGAATAGCAAAATTGGCAGAATGCACGGTCCTCCGGTCTGATCAGCAGCTGCCCGCCGACACAGTCCGTCCAGCAGCGTCGTCCCATTCGTGTTCGTATTGAAGTGTTCTCAGGGTTCCGTCATGTAAAGTGGATGTAGCTCCTCCGTTCAATCGATTCCCGTCGCCGAGGTAAATGCTCAATTCATATATTCCGTCCATGAAGCCTCCTCGGTCTCTACATTTAAAATACGGTGAGCATAGCTCCGATAGTCTACCGTATGTATACCCCGACATCTACGCTCACGCTCGAGGCTCTATCTAAGTATTGAGAACCTTTGCCGGAGGAGAGTTCCTTCGCTTCCAGATTCCTTCCTTCAGGCATGCAATTCGATTGGCGTTTGTCCAAAATCCGTTCCGCGGAGGACTGATGGTACTGAAAGATCGAGGATTTTGTATCATGACTCGTATCGGGTGTGGTTTCTGCATGCTGCATACATGCTGCAGCTACCTGTCAAACCGGATGATAATATAAGGAGTAGCTGCAGTGGAGGAGGATCTGGGCCTAGAATGTGACAGTTTTCTCGTTCTCCCTAGATGATGACAGCTTGTATTGTGGTCTGTAATTGTCTAATCTATCTCCTCTGTCTAGGTCTGGGGGATCTCTCTGCTGGAACCAGATGCATGTGCAGTAGGAAGGTTGAGTCCGAACAAAATTCTGAAGCCGATGCTGAGATCTCCGAGGAATTTATCCTACGAGGGATGTGAGTACGTGATCAAGTGAAGAACAATGCTTCCGGTGGTGATAGCTCTAGCTCCGAAGTGTAGGGTCAGTTTGTTGTACGAAAGGTAGGTAGTCCTTTCTTCCTGGAGAAATTCCAGGACTGCTAAAAGAAACCGAAAATATTGATACACTCTATTCGTAATTTTACCCGTGGAAACGTACTGAAGGGTTCTACTTGCGGATCTTAAAATGATCGAGAATGCGCACGGCTTTTGATCCACCGTCATCAACGATGTCTTCCGCCCGCTTTTCCATGAGGTTCTCATACGTGAGCGGCTCTCGATAGACACGAGGGTGGTCTTCGTCCATGAGCTGGGCAGGAGGAGACAACGGAAGACTCGGCTCCGGGCTCACGAAATTGATCATCGACAGCCGATCGAGCTTTGTGTTGACTTGAACTTCATGGATCACGGATTTAAGGCGGCCGTTCGTCCAGGCCTGCATATCACAGAAGAATGTTGGCAATCGCAGCTGTGAGCAATCCCATCGCTCGCTCGAGCTCGTGAGACACAAGATTCACGTGGCTGATCGCCATGGCATGGTGATTAATTGCAGGCAGTTGGACTGAAAATATATAGCGTCAGACTTTTGTGAATTTCTGGGACGAAAGCAGTGGAGGAGTGGGATGATCTCACTTCTAAAGAGTCGCCCATGTTGACCACGAGAGCGCCTTCGATTGGCTTGACTCCATACCACCGACCGTCTCTGCGAATGCGCAAGCCTCCGACTCTGTCCTGCATCAGGATTGTCAGAGTGCCAGGGTCCGTGTGCCCCTTCGCTCCGGGGTTCTCCGACGGATTCGGATGCGACGGGTAGAAGTTCCATCGCACAGCAAAGCGTGGCCACGTGTCCTGAGCTCGGTGAAAGTGCTGCGTGAAGAAATCTTCTCCCAAGTCCAAATACCGAGCCAGCAGTTGCATTATCTGCACATTCAGAGCTTCCGAGCCACGTAGATATTTTCTCATTTCCTCCCTGCAGCACAACAATCACCCTCTTCAGCTTGGACTCGACGAGAAATTCATGAATGGTCAACAATATAAATCATCCTCGAATGACACAAATCGTTGAGGGCTCGTGGATGATCACATGAACAAATTTATTTCCTGAAACTCCTGTGGAAGACGAAATTGTGGATCATGACGAATTTACCTCAGGAGGGGATTGCCATCAGGCCATATGCGGGAGAGTGTGTCTTCGAGTGAATTAATGTCCTTCGCTTGGAATTTCCATTTAGGACCTGGCGTAAAGGCCACCCTCTCGACCCTTTGAAGAAGAGAGTTTGGGTATTCTGCATTGAGCGGGAAGTAGACAGAGCCAGCCGCGAGTTTGAAGTCGGAAGGAGATCGGAAGAAGTTCATGCCTTGGCTTTCAATCTTCTGCATGGTGTCCAGCGGAATGCCATGGTTAATGACCTGAAACGCACCCCATTGTGCAGCTGCGTCGCCCAGTTGCTTGCAGACCGCATCAGCGTCGTCGGCTAGTCTCGAGAAATCTATTACCGGGATGTCACCGTAAGAGGCCTGCGCGGCAGAGGCGTCAGGATTCTCACCCACCGAGGGAATCTGCTGAATCTGATCGGGTTTGCCCTTCTGAGGGGCACTCGAGACCTTCAGAATAGTCTGAGGTGCCACTACTCTACGATCGTACGTCAATTTCGGCTCCTCGGAGTACGACGGACTGAAGTTGCTCATTATCGCAGTCATAGCGGATCCCGTTTGCACTTTGTGGGTGGAAAGGAAGGGCGAGCAAAACTTTGCCAATCGGATCCTTTGGCAGAGGCAGGTTTCCGCAATTTAATTTGCTCGCGACCGAGACCTGCACGGGGACGTGGGACTGGAATGGGAATGAGAGGTGTGCTGCACCGCAAACGGCTATATTGTTTCCCCTCACAGCGTCGCTGATGATGTCCACTCCGCGCGGCCCCTTGTCCCCCTCGGCCCTGGCGCGAATTTCGCTCACATTCCATTCCCTCGCCCGGCGACTGTTCGCGACTGTTTGCGGGTTGTCGTTTGCGCCACTTGGTGGGGCCCTCCAAGCAGGACATCTGTCCGCAGCATACAGGTCTCACCACCTGGGGACTGTGGATCACGCACACGTTGCGCGGAATCCATCTCAAGCCTGTCGAGTGCACACCAGGTGATAGAAAGAATGCCATATCTTTACTATTATTTCTACTTTTTAAATTAGATTTTTTAAATAGAGTAAGTGGGGAACTTTCTCGCTGTCCAGCATTCTTTGCAATCCAGACACTGTTCTCTAAATCTGATGTTTATCACATACTTTATCGATGTTAGGTTAGGACTAACCTCAGTTTTATGTTATATTTTGAATTTGACGGTGAGGACTTTCGAGTAAAATCGGATTTTTTTTATTATCGGGAAAATGAAGAATATTCAGAGGGCTGGAAGGAGTCATTAACTTGGTGCACTCATTTGGAGGGAGTTGTGTCCAGCTATTAGCCGCGGGAGAAAAGTTTCACCGACCTCTACGTGCCCAGCGGATATTCCCTGTCTGGCAGCCTTAGGGTTCAGCCTCTTTCTACACAATTGCCCTTTCACATGATTTTGGGAGAAGTGTCTGCTCGCGAAGTTCGCCGAACTCGGCCTCGCATAAAGTTTGGCAATCTGCCGATGCTGTCCCCATCCTGCGGCAAACGCTGTCAACTTTCCGGGGACAGCCACGGATTAGGATGGAACTAACAGTAAGCAGTCCGAGCTGCAACCATTCATATTCTCATTTTTTTCCTTTTTCTTTTAGTACAAATCAGTGGCCACAACTATCATTATCGAAGAGTTGAGATTTATCTTCTGGATTGTACTTTGGAGATTCATACTAATGAAGTCAAAATAGACTTTGTAAACTTACAATGTTCGTGCATTCTAGACGATTAAGTACATGCTTTTGGTCTGATATATGGAATTTGTTGAAATCTTGAGGATAATCTCCATATCACAGCCTATCTTCTGAATTATTTGCATATGAATGCCATAAAATCAATCGTCGATATCCATGAGTCAGAGTACAACTACTAGAATTCAATTCCAGATCCACACTTTAGGGTTGAGATAATTCGATAGCTAGGACCGACAGCGAAAGTTATTCCAGTGGTTCGGTGAGATGAGTGCACGAGTGGTATATGCAGCACCATGTGACGCAAGGATTTTACTGTGTGCACTCAAAGCGTTGTCGTGTAAGGACACAGTAGTGACAATGCTGCTCTATTCTCCTGGTGGTGAAGCAAAAACAACTCTGTCATCTTTGTTGGTCGCATCTTTGTCACATAACATCTATTGTCATGGATGTTATGTGATTTTCGTACGAAAACGTGTACTTGGGAATCTGACCTTAACACGTTAGAGAGGTCCATTTCCGGGAAAATACATCTGCCTATTTCCTAGTCCTATATGGCTCTACCGTTAAGTGGTACCCTTGTCCTTATGCTAGTCCTCTTGAACTTGTAGCAGTGTGTATTTTGGGAGTTGCAAACCGTTGAGCAACTGTATTACCATCCTTTTAGGTTCTGTTATCTCGTATAGAACACTTATTTGGTGGAGCTTGTAATTGTGTACTTGTAATGCAGACATAAATTCTTTCAAATATAGGCCTGGGTGTTTGAGAGTCTGAAGAAGGATAGAAATAGTCGCTCATAAAAGGTAAGATACAAAGATGCTTGGAGTTTGATCATGTTAGTAGATTCTGGTCGTGTTCATGTACAGACCTACCATAAGATGCAAGTAGACTGAAGACTATTACCTACTGTCTCTAGTGGAAATTTAGTTAAGACCGTTAACAAGATTACTATGCATGAAGTTTCATAAGAAATTTGTTCTATCATATACAGGAGAAGTTTTGGGTGCTTGAAAGGCTGCAGAAGGTTAGAAACAGTCGCTCATAAAAGATAGTACACAAAGATTCTTCGAGTTTGATCATATAAGTAGATTCTGCTCGTGTGCATGTAAAGACCTACCAGAAGATGCAAGTAGACTTGTGACCTTTACTTATTGTCTCAACAGTGGATTTCTGGTTAAGACAGTTGAAGAGACTGCTATGCATGAAGCTTCGTATGAAATTCCTTCTATCATAAATAGGAAACGTACTGCCATAGATCTTGAACTGTAATCTGAAGGACCAATTCGTGGTATGTTTGAACGAAATTATACTTTTTGGGTCCATGCAAAACCAGAAGATTATTTTATATATGTTTTGATTTTTACCTGATTTAGAAGCAGTTCGTTAAGAGGATGAAATTCGATTTTTCTTCACATAAGTATGTCCTACACAAGCATTATTGGAATTTCGGACTAAAATTTATAAATTGAAATAATTTTTTTATACTGATGTATCAATTGAACGTTGGAGGTAATCTTTTGATTAATTAATGTGGAGACTTTCCTTCACTTCAATAAATTTTGACCAACCGATGATATGAACCGTTCTTCCTCTGTTAAAACGAGGTGTTAAAACTTGGTAGATCAACACATTCCTTGTGAGCGAATTTCTGGACAGGCAAGGTCCAAAAATTCCGTCAGGTCATTTGCAATAAGGGCTACATTTCACATACTTCAATAGTTCTGTCTCCTCAAATGACCAAATTAATAAATCACTTTAAACTTTATGATGTATAATCTCGTGATCACGAGATATCACATCATAAATTTGAAAAAAAATTTAATGAAAAAAAAAAGATATGCGTGTATTTTACACATGAGACAAAGGAAATGACACATTCCAACGTAGTCCAGATATTTTAAATAGCTGGACGTTTGAGACCCAGCTAGCGTTTGAAGAATCTTCCATCCAATATAATGCACGTGAATAAACTCATCCGTTGTCAAAACGTCGTGTTCAAACATGACTTTTTCTCTGTCTACTGTTCCCATTCGATCAATTAGGACATTGTCAAGCTATAATGAAACATTCTCGACAGATGAAATGACAGAGGCCCTCAAGGAAACCCGATTTAGATATGAACTCAAATATTCCAAGGTTGGTCTAGTTGTTTATCTCAAAATCAAAGCGAAATTTTGCATCGAAGTCCCTTGCGAGATCATCACAAGGGATATATATGCAGTGAAATGCAGAATTTGGTTAGTAAAATATATTTCTAGGTACTTAGATAAACATATCCTGATAATCTTACTGTTTATAGTCTGCTAGCGTTTCATAGTATGAAATGCTATAGAATAACGACTTTTAATTCAAAAGATCTAGAAAGTCTTCAAATATAACCTTATTCACAATGAGATAATCGTGCCAAAACATGTTTCTCGAGGCGACACCTCACTTCGCACATACCAGGTCAATACTTACTTAAAATTAAACACTGTAACCATAGAAAACTATGATGATTTGATGAAGACTGCTGGACTTAGTCACCTCCAGATAAAATCATTTACCACTATCTCTAATCTGATGTATATGGAAGACATCATACTGATTTACTTGACAGGCTATGTGTTCTTAAGGTTCAGTTACAACTGATAACGAATCACACCGCAAGGCATCGTGATTCTTTTTCCAATCTGAATACATCAATCCAACGTAATTTAGTTTTATCACTGATTCAAACAATGATTAATTCCAATCATTGAACCTCATGGAACATGCACTAACAAAAAGTACAGTAGAAAGCACGTTGATCTGACGTTGATTGATTACATCATCGTCCAACCCCGAACTCACGCTCAGATAACCCACGCCCAACACGCATCTTCTGTTCTGATGCCACCCTCAGATCATGTTTCCCATCTTTCTAACCAAATCCTGAATCTGCTCCCCTACGCATTCGATTGTCTGCTTTACGAAATATATTTTTTTCATTTTTTTGGCTTTTCATTCATTTACGTAAAAGCTTGGTAAATACAGACCTTGGAAACGTGCACCTCAGATTACACCGTGTCCTGTACTTTGGACCTGTCGCGTGTAGGGACTCTTGGCCGCAGCTCTGGGTCATATGCTGGCGTCCTTTGGACTTTCTCACCTTTCGTTTTCCAATTTTCTTGTTTATCTCGTCTCCTGTTCCTCGTCCACCTCGGAAATTTCTATGGCCAAATTTCAGAACATCCAGCAACGAATATCATCGACGTTTGGCACCGACACGGGTGAATTGATAATAGTGGCAGACGGTAGGAACGGTTGACATCCACAGTGGGCAACAAATGAAACTTACTTAAAGGGGCGTGGGGTGATTGTCACCGTCTCTTGCTTGGGTCTTATTGTCATCAGATTCTTGGATGGGTCTCATCCATTGGAATGCATCGTACAGAGGACAGTGGAACGATTCACAACCCGGTATTCGAGCAAACCCGAACATCAAATGAGAACGAATAATTCATCAACAATGGGCAACTACTAAGATACTCGGCAGGATTCAGATGAATTCCAGTCCTGAAACTACTGATGCGGGCCGTTCACCTCGTACACATTGTGAACAAACTGATTAGATGATTTTATGTGGTGTGAAATAAGCCGGGTAACAATTTCTTGCGAGAAACCTGCTATCAAATAACGTTGTATGCAAGTTTTCGTTGCAATCAGATCGTTATTTACGTTTACTTTCACTGTCTCACTCCTCTTTAGGAACTTCAGGGAAACATGCAACTTCGTATGAAGCAGAATCTGACGGAATAGATCAAATCAGTCACATGCAGCCTTATCACATGAATATACTTCAGAATCGTACGAACTCACTGGTATGCTTCATCAAGCAAGCATTGAAGCAAGAGCTATGCATTATGCTGCTGCTAGCAGTAAAAGTAGGGACACAAAGAAGTTGTTGTAATTCGATGTGGTGCTAGATAGCAACTGCACTTTCTGGTAGACAAACAGCTGATCGATACAGAGTCACATGCAGACTCATGATTTTGTAGATCTTGTGGGAAGGTGGGGGCTCTGTGTTGTCCTACTGTATGGCTTACTCGTAGTAGTGGATACTGAACCCAACCGTTCATGCTTTTGGTAAGAGATCTGTGCTGGTATCCTTTTCTCTCTCTGATCCCCTTTTATGGAGGAGAAATCCCTTGTACTCCCTAATGTAGATGTTACGTGACGGTGAAGCCGAGAATCTGACTGCAGAGTTCCAATTTCTGCTGCTGCTGCTGTTCATGGAGCAATTTTTGGTCCCACGGTACGACTAATTCGCTTCCATAATGTGGAGCTTTTTAAAAGAGACATCGTTGAACGGCTGTGTTGATACTTTGGGGAACACGCTGGTTCAACACGTCATGGAGACTTATTCAAGTAAGTGCTCAGAAGCATCACCAGGGTCAATCACTGGCACCATCGAGCCTCTGAGTAAGGATCAGGAAAAGAGATGACAGTTAGTGTGATAGACACGGAGAGAAGAAGAAGACGAATAGACATGAATCTGACGATGATTTGCTTCACATCCTTCCCCACTCACGTTACCGAGTCTACTTCTCTCTCTTGCACTTGGAAGCTTCTCGAAAGAAGCTTCCAAGTGCAACGAATTACGGATTCCCGGTAGTCTCTGAGAATCCCACTCTCCATGAAGCGCAAAGTCCAGATGGGAGTGGCCTCTCTTTTGGACTCAAGAACCTCTGTGGAAGTTTAAGAGGCCAGCTTGGCCTGTGAGACTCATAACCTGCGAGCCAATTCTGTAACGAAAAGGTCTCAGGGATGAAGCCACCATCGTCTAAGCGGCTAGGACACCTCTCTTTCCACGAGGAACTTTCTCCTTTGTAATTAATTTACGTGATGACCTGAATTGCCAGCTAATATCAATAGCTGTCTGGTCCTGATTCAACTTTTCTGTATAACTAGGAAATCGAACCATTGCTGTCTGTGATTGTGGTTTTCTACAGAGTGTGACGAGTCCTTCAGCTAGAATCCCCACTTGGAAAGGTAATCGGTTGAAACCCTTCGACCATATACGAAATTCACCTCTTTGAAAGCAATCTCGGAATTTGGGAGTGACTGCTTTAAAACATATACGGTTCATATGAAGAAAGGGGCGTCGTCCAAAGATGACATGAAAAACGAGACGATTCAGTCGCGCACCTCTGGTTTATCACTCTTGAAATGATGTCTCGATTACTTCTGACTTAGCTGCTATTTAGAAACATTTGATGGAGATTTATGAGCTGTAATATGTTTGTAAAGCCCATTAATTTCCATGAATTGTTTCTAATTAACAGAATCAAAAAGGAAATGGTGTTGCTACTGCTCGTCTCGTAGTCAACAGTGATTTCTGCTCCTCCCATTTTCGACATCCGGGCTCGTCGAAATCTCAGGTTAGATTCACCACTTTTTTTATTTTCACAGTTGCTAACACTAGACTGCAGGAAATTGACTGTGTCAGCCGCAGATATGGTATACAATCTGGGCTTCAGAACGTGAAGTCTTGAACGCATTCATTAAGTACAAAAGCCTGGATTTTATCTTCTTAGATCTTTGGTCAAGCGTATTTGGCACGTAGCGACATGATATCTGAGAAGGATGAAACCAAACTGGGATCTATGGGATCTATCAATTTTAATATTCAGTACCATCTTCACTTTTAACTGCATTTGGAGCTAAAAGTTCAGCAATTTCAGTATCGTACATGAAATCAACGTACGGTTATGAAAAGAGAAATCCTATATGAAAGGACAAGTAATCCAAAGGCCACACGATATAGATATATATATATATATATGTATGAGACAAAATATTTTACCAAGGCCAAAAGGGTTGACATATTCGATCGTTGTAATATCGAAGGTACAATCCTTGCGCGTAAACTTTTAGCCAAACTTTTAGTTCAAACTTGTTCCAAGTAAGTAGATTCATACTTCATGTACTCAGGACCACCGTACTTACAAGATATGTTTTAGACTGGATGACATCATAGTCTTGTGACAACAAAGGGAAGGGAGATAGCGACAGGCTCAGTCTTGTGACCCGAGGAGTAAATGACAAAGAGCATCACCAGCTGTGTGGCGTGGAAGGCAGATGACGGTAAGTGACACAAGTTTTTTTTATCCTCATATCGCCTAGAAAATCAAAAAAAATTGTTTGATTTGCTATATATTATGGAGATGAGGTAGTGTGCAATTAATATGGTGGGGAAAGCTCACTTACCAGTATTTTATAGCTAGATCTAGCGGTATGCAAGGAACTTACACGAGAGTTCTCGTCTATGTAACACAACGAGCTGTCTTGTGTTTAATTCCAAATGACAAGATATCGATTTAGGAATTGAGGAGTGTCTGCCATTTTGAAATGAGTGAAGTAAGCCAATAGTGGCATGAATATACCTGAATCGAGTGAAGAATGACAAAGAATTACAATCTAAAGTTTTGCTTTTGTTTTTTTGTTCATTTATATGTGATACTGTAGATGTCAGTTCCTGAGCATGATGTCAGAAGGACAATCACTTTAGAAACCTCAGATATGTGTGAATAAAATCAGGGCTCATTATATCAACATAATCAACCGTATGTTGTCGTCAGTAACTGAACAGAATTTAGTTTAAGTCTAACTCTTACATGAAAATGGCACATTCTGGGATGAAATATGAAAGCTCGTGACAAAAGGAAACGTACTTCATAATGTAAGGTCACATATCGAGAATAGTCTTGTGACCAGTTACTGAATATGATGTAAGTTGTATAATCACTTAAGAAACCGCATATAAATCCAAATCGGAACATACTTTGTTCATAAGTAGCAGACCGAAAGAACTTTGACATTTAACCCCCCATCTTAGATATGCACATTATGGGATGAAACATGAAGACTCGTGCCAACAGGAATATACTCATCATGTTTTAAATTGAGAGATCCCAAGTTATCCTCTCCCTCGATGCTTTGTCGTACAATATCAGGTGGACCGAACATCGTGGCAACTCACAAAAGCAAATCGTCTTCAATCCTCCTGTCAGACTGAACTACCGAATTCCGGCTCATCTTATGATCCTATAACTACTTTTGCAGAAACAAACGGGGATTGAGACGAAACAGCTGCTGGGGTCGTCAAGGTTTTGTGGTTCGGGTTGCAATCATCAGTCAACGATGACACCAAGAAACCCATCTAACCCCTTTTCTTTCAGCTGGCTCATTCTCTGGCTCAATTCTTTCTATCTATCTCTCAGTGATTCCTGTACTTTCTAGATCTGTCTCTAGTACAGCGATTCAAGTTCCAAAGCAGTGCCTGTACATGATGAGGTCAGAATGAGGGTTCCACATTGATTCCACTCAGACCTCAGGATGATGATTTCCTTCACTGAATCACATCGAGCCTCTAGATCCAAAGTGACGACTGCGTGTACCAGATTACATATGCTGTTTGATTTCCTTTGCCAAGCTCCTGAAGAGTCTTTGCTACAAATGACACAACACGTAACGCCAAGCTTCGATTAGAGATCCCTCCGCCACAGTTTGTTAAAAGGTTTCTGCATGATAATAAAATGGCATCATCCGAGCAGCGAATCCCTCATGTGATCAAACTGATAAAAACAGCTTTTGCTGGATCCGAAATCCACGCTTTTCGCTTTGATATCAAGATTTGATTCTAATTTTGGAATTCATCCCAAAGTTTTTCTTCCAGGTGAGTACCTCGACGTGTGCATGAGACGTCTTTCCCCTTCCATTTTGTCCTTTTAACATATTTGAGAAACGTTTGGCTCTCGGCCTCAGTCTTGGAGTCGTACACGTGATTGTTGCAGTTCTTCTTGCTCCTCGCCCATTTCCTTCCACTCCGAGTGTAATTCATTACAATAAGGGAAACACTTCATTCAAGAGTCCAGCCAAATATCTTTAACTAGTCCTTGTCATCCATTAGAGTAGGGTATGTGTTTACACGCAGACCCTGGTACATGGTTGACTTGACTCAAAGCCACTCCCAAGTTGACAAAGGTATGAAACCATTTAACTATAGTTTTGATTCAACGAAATCAGATGTCTAACGCGAAAAGTCGCCACGGAGTTCACATAAATTATCAATTGAAGGTCTCATCACCCTACTGAAACAAAGAGCAGACAAAATGGGTCCGAATAAAGCCCCTTGCAAGTTTTGAAGGGCACTTAATCTGTAAGTTTGTCTGCAATGAATTACGGGAGACTTGGAAACATAAGCTATTATTACATAAGTACATTATGCCAACACTCTGACAAAAGAGTTGTAGTTGTTTAACATCAGCTTTATGGTCGAGAATATGGCGATCAGAAGTATTTAGAAAATGAATTCAACTTGATGTGAATGGGCTGCTTCGTATAAAAGATAAAGATGTTCGAGTAGGAACAGAAGAAAGTGCGAGGCAGAGGCCTAAACCTTCAAAACCAGTAATAGGGCCTCCCCTCTTGTCCCTCAAGGGGGAAAGGAGGGAGGCCTCAAGCTGGGTTTTCCCCTTCTTGTTCACATGAAATAACATTGCCAATCCATAACAAAATTTTAGGAATATAAGAAACCTTTTCGAGTCACATCTTGAGTACCAGTCAAATTTTCCTGTCAATGGGTCTGACCTACCATCCTCTGATCAAGGCATGAATACTCCTGAAACTTTTTGCTAAGGCTAAAGGTTTTGCAGAGATCAATCTGCTCTATGAAAATAGGCACATATGGTTCCTGTGATTCTTTTGGCTGTCTGACTATCTGTGAGCTCGTGCACTCCAATTAGTCGATTTTTGTGTAGCTCTGACGGCACTGTGACGTTGTTACAGGTTACAGTTGGTAATATCGGGTATACTAGGGTCGATGTTCCCGCTTTCCAGACGAGCTGCCCTTACTTTTCCTCTCATCATTCATCATTCTCGTGGTTTCTTTATTTTGTTCAAGCTCTTGCTTTCCCGATAGCATGCTCAGCTCTCTCTAGAGGTATCCAAGCCTTTACCGTCTCCCTTTCAAGACACTTTCATCTTGTTCCCTGCGACATCTTTGTGTACCGGAGGCTAAAAGAAATTCTTGCACGGAACAAATTGCGCGTTGGTTGCAAGTAGATTAGAAAGGTATGTTTGTTTATTTTTTTGAAACGATGGTTTGGTTCAAAGATGTCGGTTACGAATGATTTTATTTGGATAGGATTATTCAACAGCAACGAAGGTAGATGAAATCTGGAGATCAAAGACAGACTCAAGTCTGTTACTTCAGAAGAATGCGACAGAAATTATGGCATCATCCTCTTGGTTGGTTCGGACTGTTGAGTACCAATGACTTTGTCAAATCCTCATGTTACTATGGTCTATTGGTACTTTAGTCCGTCTTAGGCCATCCTATGCAAGGTATCATGGGGAAGGAGAACATTTCCCTATACACTCAATGCAGAGATTGAATGTTTAGTTGGAGTGCCCAGATTGGTTATTATACAACATGGTGTAGAAGTTATGCAGCAGGCATTCCAATGCTTCGGCCAATTGTTACCCTTTCTTCGTTGCAAGCTTTTTACAACGGTTAAGGGAGCTATTGATCTGTAGTCTATCACAATAGACTTCAACGGAACAGTTAGTGAATTTCTCCAGTGAACTGTCACTCCAAGAAATATGGTCAAGAAAGCTCGTGATGGTCACTTTCCTCGCCAAAGTGAGGTATTTTGTACAAAAATAAACTGCCTTCTCTAAGACCATGCGAATCACCTGTGGATGAGTTCTTCGATTGTAACTGTACAAACCTGCCCAAAGTCTTCTCCGATAAGAGTATTTTTCTTGCCGTTGGGAAAGTTGTGTCGGAGATGCTCGATTCATGATCTGCAAAATTAGCACAATATAACTCGGTTTATCTCTCTCCAGTCATCAGCTAACAACAATCGTCAAGTTGGGCGATTTCGCACTAATATCAAAACCAAGCGTAAGGTATGTCATTATGTTAAGAAACGAAGAGGCAATAATTATCGAGAATGTGAACGAACGTGCGACAAATAAGGGCAAATGTAGAACAAACTTCTCACATACAACTTATTCTTTTGAGCAAGTATCAATCTAGTGATTTCATCCAATTCAGTAAATTCTTCATGCTTTGCAAACCTTGGCCCACGGATGGATCCTAGCCTGTAGGATGCATTTGTTGTTCTTCGAGTCCCAAGCAGTACCAACAGTCTTCTTGACATTCTGCATGTACATGATCAAATGAGACTATCATTATTAGGAAGTAGATCGGTCTTCACATCAAGTACCAAGAGCGCTAGATAGGAAGACCAAATTATCTCGGAAGAACTATCCGCCTTACCTTGTCGGTCCTCAAGATCATGCGTGCCGCTGAAAGCTTGTCTACCAGCGCGGCTTTAAATCGCGATTGTATTCTCCCTTATGTCAGCAAAGCTGACTTAGGAAACTTATAACTGGACAGCAACCAGATCTGTCTTGTGGTCTGTCCCTGATTTTTTTTCTCGGTTACCAGGAGCACCTGACCGATGACTGACGTTGACATGTATTCGCCCCGCTTCTAGCCTTATGTTAGTTCGTTGGCATTTGCTACCACCATCTTTGTGCTTGTCATCTGCTCGGTCCTGACTAACTGTAAGCCGTCCTAAACCTTTAATCTCTCCTTCTTGTACACTTGTTGTCCTCTCCCGAGTAAATTCCTGAGCTCCTTTGTCAGAAGGCTGCTCTTCATGTACGCATAATGCCTGCGTGACTGTCTCGTTCTCTCTCACCTGAAACCTTTGGTCTCTACTTGCCACCCTATCTCTAGCTGGATCACCTCGATCACCGAGGAGAATGTACTCTTCTTCTGTCTCCACCTGCTCACTCCGAGTTGTAACCTTCCGCATCTCAGATGCCAGTGTACTCCTTGTGAAATCACTAGTACTTCGTGGTTTTGCAGGGGTGCCCCTTCTGAAAACCGGATTAGGCATCTGAAGGCTCCTCTGAATAGGAGATCTGATCCGAGGTGGTGATGGACCGGACCTAATTCTAGGTGGTGATGGCCCAGGGGTCCTACTAGTTTTCGTCTTTGTGGGAGAATGATCTCTTCCACAGCTTGGAGGTGACCTCGTCCTTTGAGCCAAAGCAGGACTAGCTTGGCGTGAAGTAGCTAGCATCCGAAACACCTTCACAAGTTCAACACCAAGTGCGCTGCACTTATTCTCCGCCGTAGCTGCACCTTCTAGAGCTTGTCGAGCATTTGCGGTGCACTCTTCAACTTTGGTATCAAGCAACCTGTGCAGCCAGATCGATGATGTAGAACAAAAGTTGGGGAAGATATCATCCACTCAGAAACACAAGTCGTTTTGATTCTTTTACAGTCACTAAATGATAACAGTGCCCATCCCTACGTCTGGTTGAAGAAAATCAAAAACAACTTTTAAATTTCTAAAATAAACCTGAAGCTTGAGAAGAACGTGAAGAGAAAAGGTGTCATTTACCTATTATACAGAGATAAAACACATGAGATCATATCATGTCTCTGTGGTCAGCAGTTAAACCTATGTTTTATTATTAAGTGCAAATAATTAACTGGCTCAGGCGGCACTTATAGAAAATGTGTGAGTTGGGATGGTGCCATTAATTTATTTTCAGACATACCTGAGGTTTGTGAATGTAGCAGACGCGACCAGCTCAATTCGACTTTCTAAACTACCCATTCTGGAATGGACTTCCAAAGCACCATCTGGGCCTGCCATCAAGGATGTCTTATCTTCATCCTTCGATCTCGGTGTCGCCAGAACTTCGACTTTCCTGCATATCACATGAAGGAGTTGTCGCGCATTTCAGTGCGAACATTATGCAGCCGCGTCAGGAATCTAATGTGTCGTAGCTACTTCGAGAGCCCTAAGATGTTTATGTCTTTGAACCATCTCTGCTTTATCCCAGAGCTAGAGCAAATTTGTACTATCGAGCAGTAAAAGGTCGAACAAAAGCCCGAGATTTGAGGGGAAAACATGAATCAAAAATCGAAATAGCATATTAAGGAGGCGAAAGATCGTCCGTTGACCAATTTTGAACGGCACGTTGCTTCAAGGTGATAACCACCAGCCAGCTCCTCTTTACGCTTGGAAGTTGGAAAGATGTCGGAAGCATGCATATTGAGTGTGTTGCTTTAGATGTTTTTATGCGATGAAAAGTATGTAATAGCTATCTTCCTACTACCATAATAGATGAGCAAAATCTTCGGAGGTAAAAGATTTGAGATCACACCTTTGAAGAGCTTCAACAGTTTGCCACAAGCCTGCCACGTTATTCGGAACATCGCCTCCCAAGTCAGCTCTGTTCTCAATGTATTCCAGTTTTAGTGATAGTGCTTCCCGGCCTTGCCCAACAGCACTTTCTAGATTGGATACTCTAGCGTCCAACATTGATAAAGCTTGACTTTGAGTTCGATCACTGCTTTCCATCTTCTGAAATAGGTCTTTGACGTCAGTCCCAGAAGCGGCCATATCCTTCAGACTATCAAACTTAGATTCCGCATCGTGAGCCATCTTTTGCATGAGTGCTTCCTCCGCACTCACACCTTTGCATTTTTCTTCGAGCTTCTCAACCTTGCAACTTATGTCGTGCACAATGCGAGCAGCATTCTCATATTTTGGCAGCCAGATGGATGCCGTTTTTTCTAGATCCCCTGTGCTTGCTCGAACTTCTTGGAAGGATTGTAGTAAGTCTATATGCATACTCTCTAGTTTCTTAACTCGAGATGCAGACTCATCTACCAGGTCCCTCAAAGCTTCTTCACGTCGGAGGGCTTCATCTATCTTCTCTCTCAACTTGCTATACTCCATCTTCAGATTCTGCTCCTTCTTAGATTTGAGATCTTGCTTTATTGATCTTCTTCTTTGTTTCTCCTCTTGAGATGTCTGAGCAGAATCTTCCAGATTCTTTACCGTGAATCGAAGCTTTGTCAAAGCTTCATTGGTTTTCTGAATATATTCAAGGTCACCTTTCACATTGCCATCCATCTGCTCCCTATATAGAGATAGCCTCTGCCTTTCTTCTTCCAACCTGTACAAAACCGGGAGGGGGGAGTGAGATGGAATATAAAGAAACCTGTCTTTCTGTTCTCAAAAATTCATTCAAGTGAACGAGCATGTAATACTCAATAAGCTGTGGAGTACAATGTGATACAGCTTACAATGAAATTTCGACACAATCAGTTAGTAATAAGGCTTTCACGTCTGTGTTTAAGATTTGCTATTCGATTTTACATTGAACTCCATGCTTGCAAAAGAGATTCGTGAAATTGGATTCATGATCGAAACGACTACAGACACTGTGATAGTGATATCAGACTTACCCTCCAGTAATCTGTTTGGCTTTGCTGACCTCCTGGTCCATGGCCCTCTTCCAACTAGTAATAGCCTTCTCGAGCTCCTCGTTGAATCGCTCTTGCGCTTCATGACTCTTCTTAATAACTCCCTCTCGATCACGTTCAAGATTTTCTCTTTCTCGATCTAAACCCTCGTGTAGCTGAGAACTTTTCCTCCTGGCTTTGTTCATCTCTTGATTGAAAGAACCCAAAACTTCGGCCAGAACCTCACCAGCTTTTTTGGCAGAATTTGACGCTTCTGAAGCGGCAGCTGCTGCTGCGTCTCGTTCATGCTGCACAATGGTTATTGCATTTCTCACTCCAGTTTTTTCTTGTAACAAAAATTCCTGAAACTCGGCACTCTTTTTCTTAGCTTCTGCAAGAGCCTGAATAACTGCATCTTTCTCGAATGCAATATTGTCCTGAAGCGCAAGACTTTTTCTTCTTGTTGCAGCCATCTCTGAAGAAAATGGTCCCAAGAGTTCAGACAGCACCTCCCCGGCTTTTGCAGCAGCTGACCTGGCGTCAGCAGCTGCCTGAGCGGCAAGATCCCTATCCCTCTCTACCGCAGCTAGTGATTGGGCGATGGCTTCAGCACCTTGTTGGGCCTCTTCAAAATCGAGTTTCAACCTATCCATGTCCCTCTTCATTGGCTCGGGAAGACACATGAGTTTATCTTTTGCAGCCTAGAGCACAGGGGTCAGTCGCTCAATTAGTTTGCTTCTACGTAGAAGACATGAACAGCTGATAAATTTAACAAAGTTTCTTTGCTAAAACAGTTTGAGGGACTTCTCGCTCATAGGAAACCCTTTGCAAAGAAGTAACCCTGTTTTCAGCAGCACATTCGATCGAAGACAAAAAATTCCAGGATAAGAGGATAGTGTGGATGAACATCAGAAGCCGTGATTCATACTTTTGTTCACCATACTAGACATGCGATAATTAACACTGCATACAGCGAATCTCAAGAGCGACACTTACTTGGTTTCGCTTTTGCATTTCAACTTTTATCATACAAGAGAGTTCGTTTTTATTACTGTTTCCAATTTCCATCATCTGCCTCCGGATACACTCGTGCTCCCTCTCCAGGGCATCACGTATTAAACCCCGCTCTTGTTTCAATATATCGGATACCTCGGACCGAAAATGTTCCATCTCATGTAGAAGTCGCTGCTTCTGAACGCAGGAGTGATCTTCTCCAAATCCCATATCTCGTTGCCTTTTGTACTCCCCCAATTGACTCTCAAGTTCATCCATGCGATCTCTGCAGTGAAACTTCACATTGTAAACATCCGTCCTCACCTCCTCTAACCCACCTAAATAAAGTTGTGAAAGACTCTCCACTCTCTCCATAATGAGCAACCTTTCTCGCACCCCTTCCATCTGTGCAGCACCTCTATCCCTCTCCATCTCTTCTGAATCCTCCTGAATCTTTTCAGCCATCTTCTTTACATGCTCCAGTTCTGCCTTCATTCCTTTCTCTCCTCTTTTCAGCCCATTCACCTCCATTTTGAGATCGAGCCCTTCGTCTTTGATCTTTTCGAGATCTTGTCTCATTTGTGTTCGCTCCTCTGCTTCCTTTTTCATGTCGTCTCCATCTCCGTCGATACGTAAATCTCTCCGCAACGTTTTAATTTCCCTGATTGAATTTTCCTTTGCCTCTTCGCTCATGCGAGCCAGTCGTTCCATGTGCTGTTTCATATCTTCTCTCTCTTTCGTCAAAATTTCCACCTCGGACCACAAAGACCGTATCTCTTTCTTCAGATCCACTACCGCTGCATTGTTATTATTATTGAAATGACTCTCTATCCTTGCTTGCACTAAATTCTCTACGTGCAGCTTCTCGTCCCTCCTCATCCGCTCCACCTCTGCTGACAGTTCACTCATTCGACCTTTGACCTCGTTTCTGATACATTTTTTCAGCTCCATGAGCTCATCATCGGTCTCGTCCTTCAGGGTCTCAATCTCCTTTTCCAAACCGTCTACTCTACTACGCCAACCTTCACCTTCAACCTCAATTCTTATTTTAAAACCCTCTACTGATCCTTTCAACTCTCCCACCAATCTTTGCAGCCCGGCCATGGTCCCATCAAATGCTTCAGTCTGTTTCTCGTGTCGTTTCGGTCCGACGAAAGACAACAGGCAATCATGCCCACCAGAAGCTTCCTTCGAGGTTAGGAACTTTTGACTCTTGGGGAGCCTCTCTTTGCGATCTCTTCTTTCCGGAGAGATCTGTCGCTGCAGATGGCTAGCGACCAAAGCGCACCCTCCTAACACAGCGTCCAGTCTCTGGTCCGAGTCAGCGTGCCTGCCAGAGCCAATTTCTGCGTCGGGTTTCACCTTGTAAAGGTTTCCAATCCTTTGCTGGATCCTAGCACTGAGAGTGTGAGAGCTCGGTGGCGACTTGGGCAGAAGTATCGCTGCAGGGGAGGTTCCATGACGACCTTCATACTCACTGTCAACCGTCTTGCAGTTGTCAAGATCAAGGCGATAATGATGCTTATGTTCATTGACGCTAAGAGAAAGCGGGAACTTGGACAGAGCCTTCGATGGATTTAATGAGCCCGAATTCGTGTGACCGGATTGGTTAGGGGGACTGGGAAGGAACTTACTCTCGGGTGACAAGTGCTTAAGCTTCTGTATGTAATGGGACAAAGGAAGTGATGAGAGAGATGATGACGAACTCGAGGATGAAGAACTGGTAGGGGGCGTGATAGAATGTGGAGGCGAGACTCTCAAGCGAGGACTTTTCGCACTATTCTTGTTTTTGGATTGCTGTCTTTTCGGTTGCGAAGAATGAGTATGCTTCGGCCTCGACAACGATGGATGTTGACCGGTGCCACCGTTGCGTCGGCGGTCATCTACGTCGCTCTCTCCTCTTCCGCTGTCATTTCCAAACTCGGGAGACCATTTGGCACCTGCTTTCCCATCTCTGGACACCGATTTTCGGGGTTTGACGTCCCTCTTATTTGTTTCTTTAAGATTATTATGATCCTCATCGCATGGCCGTTTGGCGGCAGGCTCTTTATCTTGATGAAGGGCAAACTCTCTAATCCTAGAATCTTCGGCCATCTCCTTCAGAGCTTTCATCTGTACACGGAACCTTGCACAATCTTCTCTTACTCCACGCAAGTTTTCTTTGGGATCAGACTTTTCGGACCCATCTCTAGAATGCGGTCGACTAGCAAAACTTGGACGCTCGTCTTCCATTTTATGCTCGCCGTTGCTCACATTCCTCGGTTTGGCTCTCTTGCGAGGGCCGGGAGTCTTCTCAGGACTATTCCTGCCACTCTTTTCGGACTCGCCGTTCAGGTACTCCAGACAGCCTTCCCCATCCTGTTGCTTGAAGTAGGCTTCTCCTTCTCCTAAATCATGCAACCCTGACTTCCACCCATGTTGCATTTTGTCAACATTTCCATTGTTACCCTGCAGTGGTGATCCGACTTGTTGGTAGCTGTTGACACCCCCAGCACCAACATGCCCGTGAAGATAACACTTCTCATTCACGTTTAGACTTCCTGTTGTGTGTCTATCCTGCAGCCCACCTAATTCTTTCAGGGCTTCCCCAAACTGTTCTTGCAATCTGAGGGCGGTCCAAGCAGCTTCATCTCTTCTCTGAGACTCTGCTCCGTGCTCTATTACACGCGGCCTGGCTTCGTCCCCGCGATTTGGCTCCCGCCCTGCAGAGTATGGACTCTGTAGAGGTGAACTACCTACGTCAGGACCGCTCTGGTCTGAAAGGTCTTCCTTCGTCCATCTTTTCTCTAATTTGCCACGGGACGAATACTGTACCGTAGAGTGTTTGTGCGTACCTTTGTTTTCTAAATCTCTCCCAGCAGGATTCAGTTCCACTGGATTGGACATCTGAGCAACACCGGGAGACATTCTCTCAACGCTGGTTCTAGAATTGAAGCAGTCTGCCTCGTCGTCCGAGCCCATCTGGTTGTTCATGGTGCCTTCAAATCTTGAGGTGGCTGCAGTGGTTGGCCTGTGCAGAGCTTTTGCCGATACCAATCCCAGGGATTTTACACGCGGCATTTGTCTGCCGGTTTTTTCTCGAAGTGGTGACGATTCTCTGGACAGAGACTCTACCTTCGCCAGTAATTTTTCCTTCTCTTTCGTGCGACGAGGATTTTCACCTCCCAAACATTCTGTCACACTCCTCAGTCGCTGTAAAATTGGTGTCGCTTTTCGGGAAGTAGGCGCAGATTTGCTGACAAGTATGGAAGAATCCTGCATTTTAGAGCTCCCGTTGTCCTTGTTGTGTTTGTCTCTCAGGGAACCCTCGGACAGTTTCCTCGGTAATGTCCTGATCTTGTTTTGAGACTGACCAGTTGTTTCTCGAAATTCGGCTTTAGAAGATCGTGATTCTTTCCGCCGTAACTTAAGCGGGGTATTAGGTTCAGACCTTGATCTGTTTCCTGCTTGCCTCACTTTGGCAGGGTTGCTCTCCAGAACTCCTGGAGACTTCACTCCTGCTTTTTCAGGCCTGTTCGAAGCACAGCTTTTCTTCTGCGAAGAATGACTATCACCTCTCCCTGACGTTGTTTCCTTCAAGACTGAAGCAGTGGTTGATTGCTTGTTCGTGGTGTTGTTGCAGCCTTCTATCTCCACTATGCGTTTCTGCGCATCGTGCAATTGGGACTGGATCTCCACTATGGACTTCTCCTCTTTCTTTGTAGAGTACAGAGGATGACCTGGGATAGTGGATAATACAAGAGTTTCAAAGGCCTTTAAATGCTGCAATTCTTCAGCACAGAGGTGAGACTTCTTAGACAGAGCCGCCCTTTTTAAACATAGACGGGCACTCCGACAGTAGAAGTTTATAGGTAATATTGCCCCATCCATGTTTCACTCTCTTTCCCTTTCTCATTTAGTACACCGAGGAGAGAGTTGAGAAATGTGTGAGCAGACCCTGACTTCACTCTGTGCGTGTCTCTTCTGTGGATTCACCAAAACAACTGGACACAACAGCCATGTTTAGACAGCATCAATGCCCATGCGCGCTGAAAATCCTAAGCTCCAATATGACAACGCCACAGACCTAAAGGTGTATCTGCAAATGAACTTATAATTCGCTAGAATGGACATCAAAGAATTTCACTACATCATAGGTTCAAAATTTCACAGACAAAATTTCCTTGCAAGCTGCAGCCTAGCCATCGACACAAGGAACCAAACTGCCCCCCACCCGCAGAATTCGAGAACTGTGACAGGTTTTCTTTCAAGGGAACGACCTGTGCGTGAATTCAGAGCACGCCACTAGATAAAACGAAGAAATGGAAATAATCGCTAGGATATCTCCTACGGTCAACTCCAAGGACAGACAGAAAGAACAGACTGCTATTGAGCTCAGAGCAAGCTCGTCCCAGCAGGCAAACCCCCAGCATCTAGCGCATGACATTGGCCCACCCGGTTCTCTGCACTCACAACTTCGTTTCTTCCAGAAAAAGAGTCGACGTACTCCTTGCTTGATCGTCCTTGCGAGCTTATTCATGTCCTTCGGCTCATCGATTCATCCCCTCGCGCACAATTCACGACGCTCGATCCCGAGTCGAGGCGCGGCGCCACAGCCCGCCCATCTCGGAAGCGCAGGGCTGACGAAACATTTTCTCTCAGACGAGGACAACGGACTGCCCGGGGGACCAATCCCACCTTGGCATAACCGTTGCGTTGCACCTCCGAAGAAGACCGTTAACCATTGCCATGTCACCAGTGCGACCTTTAATCATTGGTTTAGAGCGAGATTAGGGGCCAGCGTGGACGCCACGTCATCTCGATTTGACTCGACTTGTCAATCTCAATCTCCCCGTAGAGAACAGAGGACTTCAGACAAACTCCAAATGTTCGCAAATCTTCTCAATATGTTAGCTTTTTTCTGGTATATGTGAACTCAACTTCTACATCCCAGCCTTATGGATGCATGGAAGGATTTATTTTCCATATCCCGCTGGTAAGGAGGTAGGTGCCTTTCATCAAGCACACAGTGGGTGCAGTATACAGGTTTCACAGCGCTAAAACGCTATGATTTGCCAGTCAATGATCAATCCAATTGTTGGAATTAAAATATCACGTTTGAACATTTATATTGAGGAACTTTGCTATCTTCCCCTAGGCATTCTAACACCATACTGTTTTCTGCGAAACCACTCAGCGTAGGTTATGACAATAGATTTGAAAGGAATGCTAAACCCATCATAGATGAAAATTGAATTTATCTTTATCTAACTCAAGTTGTCTTAGTCATAAAAATCTCTTGATGCTTAACGTATCGGAAACTTGTTCCTTTATACACATGTCTAATTTTGACTTTTTAAAAGGTAGACATTTTTTATTTTGCCTAGAAAATTGAATAACTTTGTGGACTTTTATCCAAGGTGATTTTGAACCTACTTTGATTTAATATTCCAGACTCTTTATTCTATATATCTATGATACATATTTAACAATTCTATTCACAAGTAAAGATATACTGAATATAAGATGGTGAAATCATCTTTTAAAGGTAAATCAAAACAAGCAAGAAAAAGAAAGAGTCGTCAAATCAATGCTCGCTATAGCTTCACATTTCTTTTAAAATGAAATAAATTATATAAGCTTTATCTCCTGGTTCAAAATGAAGTCTTACTTTTTTTCCATCTTCATGTAACCTTGAGATGAATATTCCTCTAAATTATTTTTATCACCATTATGTCAATTTATTCAATCCGTTATTCACTGTATTAAATACCTCTTATATGACCATAAATTTCCCATTTATGTATAAGACTACATAATCGTCCAATATTTCTTTGATTAAATAATAAAACACATTAAAAATTGAAGTCAACAAATTGGAAAATTAGTAAATTCACACCAAATTTGATATCAGTGTATCGATTATTTTATCTCATCTGATTAAATTTAATATTCATCAGTACTTCCACATTGAACCGAATGAATTTGATGAGTTTTGACTTTATATGTTAGTAATCAATTCTGGGTAATAGTGTCTGTTGAATGTAGTGAATTAAAATTTTTAAGAATATGGAATTCAATAATATGTTTTAGAAAAAAAATATTCAAATGATCTTGAATCATAGATTCATTCATATGTAACTTGCATTCCTCCATAGTTTTGAGAATTTTGAAACGATAAGTTTCTTCACTTGACACCTGAGTTGAACATCTGTTCAACTAGAAGACATTGTTATTCTATCAATTAACAAGAGGGAGTTTTCATTAAGGCTAAGTTTGAACACGTCAAACGTATTCCTTATATATTATGGAGGATTACCTACAGATGTTTTCCACATGTTCATATCTCGTAGTATTGCCCCTACAACTTGTTTGTGTTTTAAGGTGAGTCCTTTTGATAGTCAGAATGGAATTGAAAAAAGTGTTTCTCGGTTGCAGCTTTCAGTTAGCAAAGTTCAAGTATTGAGCATCTTTATACATTTTTCTATGTCTGCTTAGTTTTATCTCCCTCTCTTTCTCCCATCATGCATGGGCTTGGTTTGCATCGTAGCATTTTTGTATACAAAATATGTTGAATGCAACTCGAAAAGAATAAATTTTGAGATACAAACTTTCTGGACTTCGAGTAAAATAGAACGTAAGTAATATAACCACTTTCTTGCTTGACTTGGTGCGGACCGAGCCATAGTTTGGCGTTTGCTCCTTCATCGGTGACGGAAAGCAACATCAAGATCGCGAGGCATTATCTGTAGAGGAATTTTTTGGTTTATGAGAAATTCAGATGCCTTTGTGGTCGAAGAAGGCCATACGGTATGGCCTTCTCCAACCAGGCGTGAATGAGGTATGGCCCGGCCCATACCTCATTCACGCTGCCAAGATACACTACATAGTACCTCACTTTCGGTACACTTCTGACTCCAATCTAAACCTAGGCTCTCAGCCTCTGCTGAAAGCATAAAGAGTCCTTGCTGAGGATGCTGTAAGCTTCGCGAGAAGCACACCAAGGAGTTCTTATGATGATCAAATTTTCACTGGATTGGCCCAACACATAGAGTTGCCAATAAACAATGCCTCCTCCTGTGGATAGTGAGTTCGAAGAGTACGAACAGATTGAAAATTAGCGGAGGATAAGAAACAAATCTTGAACGCAATATTCCTCAAAAGCTGGCCTCCTCTGCACCACAAGGAAGAAAAAAGCTCAGAACGCAGTGCACAACACATCGCTGACGATCCAGTCGGAAGATGCGACGTCTAGTCTCTCCCTTGCTTAACTCTGGAAATAAAGGTTGTACGATGGACAAACTGATTACTCCCTATATAATCTATAAATGAGACAAGTACTCCTTTGTCTAGCTTTACTAGATTAGTTTTGTAAACAATCTATTAACCTGTACATATAGTACAATCTTGCCATCGATCTTCCCATGTATGAGGCTCTTCTAAATTGTCCATGTGACTTTATTACTCAGAATTACTTTTTCCACCCATGTTAAGTTTTTTTTATGTGCAATTCATATTAGCTCAATGAAGTTTATTCCGATGTTCATGTAGTCTATGAATAAGTTTGATACTTTAGATACATTATGAAATATTCCTCAGTGTGATGGTACCGGACCTAGCCCTTACTGCTACTCTGGCTACATCATTATGCTCGTTGATGGGATCTTCCCTTCTTATATTATATGGTTCCTTCATTACTTTCTCTGTGTACTTTAATGAGCTGATAATTTGTATATTACTTATAGTTATGCCGAAGCGACTTAAAGATCTAGAAGCATATGATATATATACCATCTTTACTTCATAAGGGATTGTGGGTGTTTCCTGACTTATTTTATCAAAGCACATGACTTAAAGTGGACTTTTTGGACTGATTCTGGAGTTCATCTTCTACAGTATAGGTACGAAAGGTGTGAAGTGTTTATGGGCATGTGTGTAAGTAAAAAGTTCATCCAGTTACGTTCTTGCGTGCAGATCAGAAGCCGATTTTCGCTTTCCATGCGAAGGTTTCTCGCTTTTTACACGTGGCCGCTCAATACTGTTACTTGGCATTTTGAACGCCACCACCACGCTCATCTTCGGTAACTATGTGAATGCTGGACTCTCTTTTGTTGTTCATTCATCCTTCTTTTTGGTCAGGTTGAAGTGCCTATTCATCCGTTATCACTTTATGGGTATTATGTTTGCTTTTCTGCCGCAGAAATAAAAGCCGAAACAACCCCAAAATAATGTTAGAGTAGAGCAAAACTTAAAATATTTCCTTCAACATATACTTCTGCCCAGACATCCAATGAAGAAGTTGTCTTATCCGGTATCTATTATCTAGACAACATACGCCATCTACCTATAGCAGAGGTGGGTTTTCTAGTGTATACTACCGATGTATCATCAAAATATACTCTCCGCAGTACAAATATGATGAGTAGAAAAAAAATATTTAAAATTGAGTCGTTATTTTTCAAATTTTTTTGCAATAGTTCATACCCATGTTAATAATTTGCAAGTTTTTGCTAAATTGATAAAATCATGTTAAAAAATGAATATAATATCCAAAAAATAATTCAATCAAAATATAGGAAAAAAATAAATGTTAACTGTCATGTTTGTCACGTGAAAAGACAAAACACATGAAACACAAACAGTCGATGCAAAAATGCTCAGGCTTAGCCGACATTGGACATACGGGGTGTACATTACGGGCTACATCAACAGTTGACCTTAATCTTTACTGAAGAAATCGTAAAGAGTGTCACCAAGAGGTTTCGTTAACTTTTTTATATTGTGATAGTTTAACCAGCTTCACGAATTGATCTCAAACTAACCTAAATTTATCCCTAACAATATTCTCATAGTTAAAATTATGTTTGAAAGTCTGAGATTCATGCTTGTTTAAGACTAGTATCATTTTATGTTTGATTGAACTAACATTTGATATCTTTTCTGAATATATAATACATTTAAAAGAAGGAAAAATTCACTTAGATTGACACTAAATATATATTAGCACATTATGAGGAGCGACAGGATTTAGCCAATTTTCCGTTTAGACTTACGTCATGTCACATAGAGCTCCTATTAGCTCTTTTTTGTAGCTGCATATAACTTAATTGAACTCTTCATAGTTAAACCAACTGAATTTAACCAAGACTAGAAATAGACTTATATCTTTAAACTTATTTTATAAGATAGATCTATGTTTATGAAATTTTATCAAATCAAAATAAATCAATCAATCAATTTGAAAAGTATAAAGGACTAAAACTATCTCAAAAATTACAAATTCTAAAACTTCACATTTGAAAAATCTAATAATTTGGTGTTCTTAGAAATATTTTTCAAGGATGAAATTATGTAAATATACAATATTCCATTTTTAATAAATCTATAAGATTTTATTATCAATAATATTTTTATTTTTCTCGTTGAATTTTAGATTGCTTTATCTTCATAAAGGATTCTAACATGAAAAGAAGCAAATTATGTGTTATTATGTCATGTAATTTTGTACATATCAATGTACAAAATTACATGCATTATTGCATAAATATTTATTAATAAATTGCATAAATTATTTATTGCATAAAGATCAAAATTTAAAGATATGTATTAAAAAAAATTATTTGTAATGATGATACAATCAAAATAATTATAAAACACAAAAAAAACCGTGAAG